GGGATTTATGAAGCAAGAGAAAAGAACTCTTCGGCAAGCAGCTGCAGCTGCAGCAGTGGCAAGAGAGATTCCTGTGAACGATAAAAGTTGGGAAGACTCAGCAAATGACAACCATCTTTTAAACTTTCTACTTTTAAGCATTTTGGCATTATAATTGTACTTTGACTAGGAGTGTTCTTTCATAATTCTGATCTGGAAATTCATATGCTGCAAAGAAGGCAGTACTACCCTCTCAAACAACAGTCATTTGAACATGCCAGCCCTTGATTAAGGAAAAAAGGGCGCCTCAGATTAGTGGTAGTTCTTGAGTGGAAATCTCTGGCTGTTGGTGGTGTGTGGGGGGTTATATACTTCTGACATGTTTCTTTTCACATACAATGCAAGTGGTGTTGTTCCTGTGCAAACAATTACTTTAATTAGACCATAGCGAGACTTCTTGAAGAAAGGACTTGGGAAACTTGCTAAACCAAGAGAATAATCATTGCTTAATATTGCTTCCAAACGGAGCCAATCGTTGAACTTTTCTTGTTGTTCTTCTGGTGCTGAAGCTTCAAAGTGTCCCTTGATCCTGGTGTTTGCAAATGTAAAATGAAGGCCTTTAAAAGAGAGAGAGAGAGAGAGAGAGAGAGAGAGCAGTATGAAGACACAAACGAAGGATATAATCATTTATTCAGGCTGGGGAAACCATTTCATCCTCTTTTTAGAAACTGTACTTGGCACTAATAAGTTATGGATGGACAAGTAGCAGATGGATCAATAAGTGGAAAGACACACCCAGGGCCATTTCACAAGTGACGCAGAGAACATTAAATGTGCATGATGATGGCATTACTCTACATGAATTATTTTCCCTTGGGATCCCAAAATCCATGTGGGAAATCTATCATAGATAATATTGAGCAGACATGTGGGTAGCTCCAGGTTTGTTTGTTTGTTTTTTTGTTTTGTTTTGTTTTGTCTTTTCCCTTCCTTTGAAAGTGGATGCTTCTAATCTGAAAGGTTGTAATCATACATGATCAATGATTTAATGCTTCTTGATGCTGCCTAAAAAACTGAGTATGACTTAGTAGTCATTTTAAAGAGGGTCACTGGAGTTATGTACTTTCCTGGATCAAAATATTTGAACATTTCATCCTGAAATGTTTTCTTATATTTACTTCCCACGAAGTAAATTTCCTTTTCTTGAAAAATGATTGCAAATAGATCGGTATAGACCCGCACATCCAAAGATGTTTGCTTAAATAGAAGCTTCACTTTCAGGAAGGCTATAGCACAGGGTTGTGAAACTCAGTTTCATTGAGGGCTGCATCAGGGTTGTGTTTGACCTTTTGGGGCTAGGTGGGCGTAGCAAAGTGGGTATGAGCAGCTCAACGTCACTCGTGTTGAGGGCACCTGTGGTGGCCCAAGGGCTCTGCCAGTGAAAATGGACTCAGGAGGCTGTGATGTCCTCCTGCAACCCTCTGCCAGTGAAAACAGAGCTCGGGAGGGCCGCTCATGGCTCACCCAAGGTCTGTTTTCACTGGCAGAGGGTTGCAGGAGGACATCACAGCCTCCTGAGCTCCATTTTCGCTGGCAGATGCACCGCAGGCCAATCCTTCGCTGCTTCCAGGGCGGCCCAGCAGGCCAGATCTAAGCACCCCGCAGGCCGGATGTGGCCCACAGGCCTTGAGTTTGACACTCCTGGTATAGCAGTTTAAAATGGTTTGTCATTGTGAGCAAATTAGGTACCAGATGTTAATGTAAAACTCACTTTCCAGTTGCATCCTCGCTTGAATTTTATAATGAATGCCTAGAGCGTACTCTACCAGCTTAGACAGAAGGAATGGCATTCTTGCTGAGAAAGAAAATGCATGCTAACAAATCTAAAACTGCTGAAAAGGCATTTGCGGTTTACCTGTAGGATACCTGGTACTGCACATATGGTCCTATGAATTTGTGCATTTTTTTTTACATTTTTTAAAAAAGCATAATATTTTCAGCACCCCGTGTTTTTAGGCATACCCTTTGAAAACATTCAGTGCACAACTGAATGCGTCCCTTGTAATAGCGCTTGAAGGTACTCTTGAGATCACTTGCGAAAGTTCTTCTAGGATCTAAGATTGAGGCTAAAGTTTGGATGGCTAAGCTATTTGTTCATTTGCCAAAGGTCATAAATGTATAAATGCTACCAGTGGTGGGTTTCAAAATTTTTTACTAACAGTTCTGTGGGCGTGGCTTGGTGGGCGTGGCAGGGGAAGGATACTGTAAATCTCCATTCCCTCCCCAATCCAGGGGAAGGTTACTGCAAAATCCCCATTTCCTCATGATTAACTGGGATTTGGGAGGCAGAGAATAGATGGGGGCGGGTCCAGCCAGAATTTTTACTACTGGTTCTCCAAACTACTCAAAATTTCCGCCACTGGTTCTCCAGAACTGGTCAGAACCTGCTGAAACCCACCTCTGAATTCTACCTGCTTTTTGTACAAGGATAACATAGGGGGAGGCTTAATGGTTTGAGATGAACAGAAAGCCAGCCTGAGTGGTATCATGTCACCAGCAGTAGTTCACCATAAGCCACACTCTGTTTGGATTTTAACAAAATGAAACTAACAAAATTAAAATGATAAAATTCTATTTTAGAATAACAAAAGCTTAGATTCATCATTAGAAGCAGCCTCTGCATTTGTATGTGCTGCTACTGATAGAGTGGTACAGGCCATCCAGGCACTAGTTCTTACAGGATTTTGATTTTACTGTTTGTCGTGAGATGTAATTTACTGTCATATGGACATTGCTTTAATTATAACCCACGTAATATGAGTGAAAGTTCTAACTAAATTATTTTATTTGTTGGAGTGTATTTTACTTCTGTTCTTAGAGTAAATTAAAGCTAAAGCAGTGGCATAAAGTGTCATCTGAGTAGGAGTGTGACATCGGTGCATTTGTATTCTTGTGGATGCTAATGGATGGTTTTACGGTGTTACATTTTGCCTACCTGATCCTTGAAATTGCATTTCTGTTATGCAGTTTGTCCCACATCCAAGAATGTTCTCCAAACACTGTAGAATCAGCATTGTTACCAGCAGGATTTAAGTTAGTCAGGATCATCTTCCCATAAACCTCAATGGGATTATAGATACTCCTCCTCAGTTATTGATAGAAATTGGGATCAGTGTCTCCATCGTTAAACAATGCGGTTATAAAGTGCAATGACATGCCAACATAGTTGTGATAGTTTTGTAAATCCCAGTGGCTACCTAGGTGAATCCCAGAGTCACATGATTGCCTTTTCTGACTCCCTAGCTTTAGTCTGGTGGGATTCATGTCAGACTTAAGCTCAAAGATAGATGAAAAGGTGCAATCTAATTGACTTCTGTTCCTTATTTGCTTATACCTAATAGACTGATTCTTGCCAAAGTAAAGCTACAACCGTTTCTCAGTCATCCAGGTCATGGTTGTCCCAAAGGTGCTTTTTCAAGAGGCAACTGGTCTTTCTGGTTTTCCTTTGAAGACATTTTGCTCCTCATCCAAGAAGCTGAGCTTCTTGGATGAGAAGCAAAATGTCTTCAAAGAAAAACTGAAGCTGAAGAAGCTTCTTGGATGAGATGTCTTCAAAGAAAAACCAGAAAGTCCAGTTGCCTCTTGAAAAAGTACCATTGGGACTTCTAACCTAATAGATATACCTGAGAGATTCTAAGATATGGTTATCCTCAAACTTTTTGTCACTCCCCCATCCAGTTCAGGACTGTGCAGTCCCTTGTTTTGGACCGTTGTATGGAATGTTCTGCCTCCTCTCTGGAAAGCCATCGTGCTATTGTCAACATTCTTCCTTCCATACATACACACTCCTTCTCCAGCTGCACATTCCATCACAGGAAGACCTTATCTAACCTTGATTAATGACCGTGCTCATCATGCTGTGAGTGTGGGCAATTTCCCCATGCATAAAAACACTGAAGACCTTAATCATGTTTTTAAAACAATATGAAATGGCGCACCCAAATGTAAAAACCAGGTTTCAACAAAAAAAAAATCTATCATTAGTAAAAAATATTATTTACTGAGGTAGGTGAGTATCACACTTCTGATTTCCTACCGGAGTAGTTTCAACTAATTTCAACAAAAAGAGTTTAGCAAGTTCATCCTGGGTTATTGACACATAAAGAAGCCTAAGAACATTTGTAATCCATATGTTTCCTTCTCAAATTCCCTCTCTTCTATTTCTTATTTGTTACCTTGAAAATATCAGTTTTAAAATTCAGGGCAACTGGACTGTGTTTAAAAAGGAAAACAAGAAAAAGATAGGACTGCTTAACTCTTTCTGTTCCTCCATCAAGCTGACAAAGGGAAAGTAGAGAAAGGCAACTCATGTGCAAATAGCCAGTTTGGACCAATGGTTCAGGCACCAACCAGGCTAGCAATAGCACTTGGATTTATATACCACTTCATAGTGCTTTACAGCCCTTTCCATTCTATTGAGTCAGTATATTGCCTCACAATTTGGATCATTTTACCAACTTTGGAAAGATAGAAAGGTGAATCAACCTTAACCCGATCAGGATCGAACTGCTGACAGTTGGCAGTGTTAGCCTGCAATGCTGAATTCTAACCATTGCACCACTATGACTGGGAAAAACCAGGAGACAGAGTTGTAGTCCCATTTTAGGTAATTGGACAGTCACTACCTCTCAGCCCAGCTCCCCACATAGGAGATATGGGTAAAATAGGAGGAAGAGCTATTAGGTATATTCACCACCTTGAGTTATTTATAAAAATAAAGGTGGGATATAAATAAATAAGAAGAAGATGAAAAAGGACAGGCCTCTGATCATACAAGCACAACCATTAACTTGAACATTTTGATCCTTCCTGCAGACACAAATGTTAAAATGTGGCAACAACTTTCAAGAGGTTTTAGAGGTGATACACAAACTTACGATTGCTACCCATGGCTGGCTGCACAGGCTGGTGCATTTATTGATGAGCTACCACACTGTCACAGAAAAAAAAAAGAAGAGATATACAGTATAACCATTCTTTATTACATACAACAACTTTCTTAAGCATGTCTGACATCCTTCCTGGCTTTTTTAGGACTATTTTACGCATGCCACAATTTTCATAACATAATGGAAAGACCCTGGGTTATTAAACAGCACTCACAATAGGGCCATTGAGAAATGAGGAGGAAGAGAATAGAAACACAATTTGGTTGTTTTGCAAGCACCTTGTTTCAGTGTTGACTATACTACAGTGTTGATATTCCCCAGAACCGAAAACATTTGGATTCCCCAGCAAGCTCTGACTAGTTTACATCATCCCTGGCTCAGATTCAGAAAGGGAAAAAGAAAATAAAAACTAAAAAGCTACAAGCTTTGATTCCAGTCATGACCCTGACAAATTATCACCATCTGTGTCAGCAGAAGGAAATGTCAGCTAGCTGACTCTTAAGCCACTTAAGATAGAGGACAAATGGTCCTTTCAGTGATAGCTGTTCAATTCACAACCAGAAGAAAAGGACGTGCACATTCTTGCTTCATAGGACTGCAAATATTTCTGCAAACCAGAGCAGTGGTTCTCTTGTCCAGTGTTGCCAAGTTGGGAGCAGGATTAAAACCATAATCCTCTTCGTGGGCATCATACTTGGGTCGTTTTGGTAGAAAGCACCAACGTCAGCAATTGAATAGTTGAGGTTATTTTCTCCATCCAACTGCCTTGTGAAAGGCATCAAGAAGTGTGAGTTGGTTTTACTTAGCATTGTGCTTCCTAATATTTGGATTCATCAGGCCTGAGCTTGGTCATTTTATCAATGCAGAAGATGATAAGGGTGAGAAACCAAAGACTCCAGCCAACTGCTGCAGCAATCCAACCGTACCCATCCATACCAATCTGGCAACAAGTGGTTGCTTCGGAGCAGAATTCAGGATCTGAGGCACAGAAAGAGAAAAGTGTCTTCTCTATCTTTATTACTGTATATCAGAGGTTCAAAAGCACATGCCTTCAATCACCATAAAACTAATAATACCCCAGAGGCTGTGTAAAATTCCAAATTATTTTTTTTAAAGTTTCTTTAAATTACTGAAATCTGTTTTGCTTAGAAAACCAGGGTCTTAGTAACTAACATTTTGTGGCATTTTGACAAAGGCTATCTGCAATTAGTTCAGTGATTGATCCAAACCCAGAGAACTGATTTGAGCAAATTCTGATTTGGTTAATTTTAATTAAGTGCCATGTGAATGTAGCCAAACCAGGGGTGAAATCCAGCAGGTTCTAACAGGTTCTGGAGAACCGGTAGCGGAAATTTTGAGTAGTTCAGAGAACTGGCAAATACCACCTCTGACTGGCCCCAGAGTGGGGTGGGAATGGAGATTTTGCAATATCCTTCCCCCCAGGAGTAGGGAGGGAATGGAGATTTTGCAGTATCCTTCCCCTGTTACACCCACAGAACTGGTAGAGAAAAAATTTGAATTTCACCTCTGAGCCAAACTATAGCCATCCAGAAGGGTGGGACCAGAAACTTTGTCCCCAACCCAAAGGGAGACAGTGGGTTACTCCAACATTATCTGGATGACATTAAACTGGTCGGAGAACGTTCCAAAAGAATTACCAAAAATTCTTCCCAAATTTTCCTGACTTAGAAACTTGCATTTCAAAAATGTGCCTCATTCCAGCATCAACTGTGAATACTTACGAGAACATGAAAAGTTGGTAGATTCTACTTCCATCTCTAGGGGGGAGAAAGAACAAAATTGTGTTTGAAGGCATGTACCAGGTGCAATGATAATAAAGTAAACTAAACTAAACTAATGTTTCTAGAGGAAACTCAACTTGTAAATCCACGTGCTCAACGAAGGTATTACTCTTCCTATTATTTAATTTCACCAGACAGCTAAAATATATTGCATTGCCCATGTAACACTTTAAATTCTTTCTTTTTTTTAATCCCTCAAATGATCCTGCAAGAGAAACCAGCAGCTGCCTGGCCTGTTTAAAGATGAGAAGAAAGAACAGAGGAGTTCAGTAGAGGGTGGAGGATGGGGATGGGGATAGGCCCACAGTTTGGTATTATTATAGACTTAAATTCCCAGCCAGGACTAACATTTATGTAAAACCATAGATTAGGCATGGAAAATCTTTTGATTGCTGCAGCTAACTTTATCATTTGGGGAGATTTTGAGGGTTGCAGTAGGTAGGTAGGTAGGGATTTTTTAAGTTCTTATTTTCTTGGGAGCTTGTGGGTTTCCTTTTTTGTTTTACCATGTTATTTTTATATTGGGGCTTGCACAAAAGCCTGCTTCCTACTGTTTCCTCTGCCGAATGGCAAGAGACATCCCACCAGTTAGCAATGGTGGTTAAAAGTGACTTCAGGACTATCAGAAACGGCCATATTTGGGGCCAGATGTTCACCTCAGGCTAAATGACATAGGATCATAGAGTGCAGGGCTGGACAGTGATCCAGATTTGGGGGTGGAGGAGGGATTTGGAATTTGTGTATATGTGCATGTTTCACCAGTCTACAACAAAATTGGAAAGTCAGACTTTAAACTGAAATAGAACGGTGAACTCAGAAAAAGATGTAGCTTGTTTAAAAAGAGTTGCCAACAGTGCAGACTCCAAATCACCTTTTCTTTCTGAATCTAGGTCATCCTAAATCACTAATACAAGGATGTTTATGGCAAATTGTACATTTTAATGGCCTTTTAGGCTAGTGAAACTCTTTCCCTTCTGCCTTACCTAATTTCATCAGCGCCGGCTGGCTGAGATTTTTCTCCTTACTTTTTCCTTCAACCTGCTATTTGAACAAAACCTATCAAAAACATTAATCAGACAAAGCACACAGCCTGACACTGAGCTAGACTTCCATTATATTTTACAGTGTTTTGATGTCATCTCTTCCTTTTCATTAACAAATGCCTCCCACAGAATGCAAGTTCTTAAATTCTTTTGCAGCCAACTGCAAACACTATTTTTAGTACCATATCTAAGATCAAGTCTTTGCACCTCCATATTCCAACTGAAATATATTTTGCTCTTTATAAATTAAAAATATCAGAAAAATGACCTAGTCCAAAAAAATCACTTCCTCCTCCTCCTCCTCTTCTCCTTCTCCTTCTTCTTCTAAGTCTCTGGATTTCAAAAGTATTTCCATAATATTGGAGGTTGTCTTATGCACTTAAGAGATCTAGGTACTGCATCTTCTAATTTCTGTTCAGGTTTGGCTGCAAATGAAGGCAGCATTCATAGGAATCTTCAGTTGTTAAATGACTATTTTAATCACTCATTTGCTTAAGAGGTATATCAGATCTATCTGCCTAGAATTTAGATTATTTAAAAATCAATGAAATAAATAACCTTTGTATTTTTCCTAGCAGCTCCCTATTATCCCATCACATGCTACCCAGTGCCTTTCTTTTCTTTTCTTCTCTTCTCTGGCTTTTCCTATCCCAGGGTCTGAGAATGTCATCAAACAAACACACTCCTCTGAATTAAGCTTTTTTTCTCCATTATTTTGCATGTTTTCTGCCAAACCTCAATTTTATGATACGAGTCAAGAGTATAGCCTCTTTTCTCTCGACACTTTCCCTTCACAGTCAAGAGAAAAACATCATTGCTGAGTATTCCCTCAGTTAACCCAATATGAATTTTCTTCAGAATAAAAATGTAATACTTCTCTCCCTTAGAAACTGTTTTTTTTTTTCAAATTAGTATTTGCAACACTGAGCAGCTAGAAATAATTTTCAGACAACATTCACCTAAGAGAAAGAAAGAAAACAACAACAGCAGCACATTTCTAAACACAGCACAGTTATTTTGTAAAAACTCTTGTCTCCCAAACTCTTATTTCCAAAGGTTCTAATTATGTCACATTCATGCTAATCTCCTAACCACAGTGTTAACTATGATAAACCATGAGAGGATTGGTCACCTTTTGAAAATGCGTTCTGGCAAGCTGAAGAGAGCAAAAGAATAGAGAAGGCAATACAGATCAATGGCTCCATTTCAGGATTTGGGATCCCAGCAGCAACAGTTGTCCCAATGAGTCCCAAAGCTACCAGCATCAACCAGCAGTAGAAGGGGAGGTACTCAACGCAAAGTCAAATGTTGAATCCAGATCTGTGGGTGGAGAAAGTTAATTCCCGCTATGCTTGGACACCTTGAATTCACCTGCAGCCAAAGAGTTTAATTCATGCAAAACCTCACCCCTGAGGCTGTGCAAGAGTTACGAGGAAGTGTGAGGCATGCAGGAAAGTTAATAACAAACAGAATATTCACATTTGCAGCAGTTCTAGTTCCACAGGTGGATTTTGGTTTTTTTAAGGACACATTGCATTCATGTTGTATCAATTAAAAGGGCATAGAAGAAGGAAGGAAGGAAGGAACTGGGTTTTGGATGTTTTTAAAAGAGGAGGCCAATTATCCTGGCCCCTACACAGGGAAAGGACCCCAATTTAGCATATGAAATGATCAAATGGGTTCTATTTTTTATTTAAGACAACAAGGTTAATCAGTTAAAAGCTATCATGAACTATGTCAGCATTTCAGATTTTTCCATACCTTTCTGATTATTGGACAACTAACTTCAGTCAAGAAAAATTGCCATAGCTAAGAGGCAGCAAAAAGATAATCGGGGCAGGGGGGGAAACGGGGTGGGGGACGGACGGACAATGGACGGACAACTTAAATAAACCTTTTGCTCCTGGCAGCTAAGCATTTTAGAAAGAGCCTGATGGATATTACTTACTAGCTACATTTAAACACCATCCTTTATTACTGAATTCACCAATGACTGTGCTTGCTTGATATATTAAATCATAGAATCATAGGGCTGAAAGGAACCTTGGTGACCCTAACCCTAACCCTACCCCCCCCCCACACACACAACCCAAGGCAGGGATACTTATACCATCTCAGACAAATCATTTATTTTTTTAAACAATGACACTTATTTTAAAAATTGGGTTCTTTTTCCTCCTAAATTCAACTAAAGCAGGGCCTCAAGGCCTGCGAGCCAGATCCGGCCCGTGGGCTGCTTAGATCTGGCCTGTGGGGCCGTCCTGGAACAGTGCCTCTGCTAGCGAAAATGGAGCTCGGGAAGGCAATGTGCGGCCCTCCCGAGCGCCACTTTCAACTGCGACAGCCTCCTGCAACCCTCTACCAGCGAAAACGGAGATCAGGCCACCACAGGCACCCCTGACATGAGTGACGTCAAGCTGGCCATGCCCACCCTGGCCACACCCACCCATCTCCCCAAGCTCAAACAGAACCCTGATGTGGCCCTCAACGAAATTGTGTGGCCCCGTTGCGAACCGGTAATAAAGGTAAGTAGAACCCACCCCTGGTTGGATTCTCTCAGTTCTGAGAGGAAAGCTATGGAGAGAGGTACAGGCAGTCCTCATTGTACAACCACAATTGGGACTGGAATTTCCATCATAAGTCTTTGCAGTTGTAAGTTGAATCATTACATGACCAGATTTGATTCTACGATCATTTTTCTGCAATCGTAACTCCAGTCACATTGCTGCAGGTCAAATTATGTGGTTTGAATTGAATTTGAAGTGTAAATCCAGTTTAATTTATGCCGGTTTTTGTCAGAAGATAATGAAACTGATGGCAAATTGAAATCACATGAAATCACTATGGGATGCGGCAGCCAGTTGTTAAGGAAAGCCAATTGCCAAGCACCTGAATTGCAATCATATGAATATGGCGAAGGGAGAGAAGAACGATTGTAAGTTCAAATCTAGATCGCAACTGACTTTTTTGGAAGCCGTCATTAATTTGAACTATTGTTAAGTGAATGGTCGTAAATCAAATAGTGCAGATAGTCCTCAATTTACAACAGTTCATTTAGTGACTGTTCAAAACTATGGCGGGATTGAAAAAAGTGATTTATGACTGATTTTTATACTTAAGGCTGTTGTAGCATCCCTCTGGTCATGTGATCAAAATTCAGATGCTTGGCAGCTGGTTCATATTTATGATGGTGCAGTGTCCTGGGGTCATGTAATCACCTTTTATGACCTTCTGATAAGCAAAGTCAACGGGGAAGCCAGAGTTACTTAACAACTGGGTTACAAACTTAATTTCAGTGATTCACTTAACAACTATGGCCAGAAAAGTCATAAAACGGGGCAAAACTCACCTAACAAATGTTTCACTTAACAACAGAAATGTTGGGCTCAGTTGTGGTCGTACGTCGAGGACTACATTTACCCTCTGGGGCATGTTTTCTTTTTTACAAGTATGAATCCAATTTGCTTACATTATGTGAGCAAATATTTAACTGTAAATCAAGGCAGAAGAACAAGAACATGTAAATCTAGCTTTTCACCTAATCAAGGTGGCTTTAAGTTTCATAATTCACAATGCTTGTGACAGCCTCCACCTGACTCCAGTGGGTTATTCTTGTTAGATCTGCCTTTTTGTTTGTTGATATTGTGGCTGGATGAGGATGGTTTGTTCTCCCCTTTCCATGCATGACACAGCCGTCCTATTTACACAGCAGTCAAACGGCTCACTGAATGCCACAAAATAGCATTCTTCTTTGAACCCAGGATCCCTTGGTTCTTGATCTTGTTTTCCAAATAGCCTCCTGTTTTTAAAATATACATGTGCACATTCCTATTTGCGAGAAATAACAATATTTGAAACATTGGGTTTCATCAAAATTCAAAATGCCAATTCAAATTTATATTTCTATTTTTTTTTCCCTGATATTGACTTTTCTCTTGATTTGGCACCTGAGTAGTAACATACTCCGCACATTGCCAAAAGTGAGGAGGAAGCAGTGGTGGGTTGCCCCCGGTTCGGACCGGTTTGCAAGAACCGGTAGTAAAACTGGTGGGAGGATCCACCCACTGACCCGGACGTCATCATAGGGGATCTGCACATGTGCAGAAGCTTCTGTGCTTGCATAGAAGAGCAGGCGTGGGCGCAATGCGAACCGGTAGTAAAGATAAGTAGAACCCAACCCTGGGAGGAAGAGAGGGGAGCATCTTCTAAGGAACTAAAGAGGGGTAACAGTTTGCCTGATTCATATATTCGGATGAAAAATTAGAAACAATAATAAGATTAAACCAGCAGTGGGTCTCATATTATGTTATTACTGGTTCACCATGTGTGCACACGCTTGCTTCATGTGCATGCGCATCTGGTTTGCGCACATGCCTGTCTTCTACACATGCGCCCAGCCTTCTGCGCATGCACTTTGCTCACCCGCGCACCTTCCATGCAGGGGTGGGTTCTACTTATCTTTACTACTGGTTCGCAGTGGGGCCACACACATGCGCAGAAGCATTTTGATGATGTCGGGGTCGGTGGGCAGAGCCTCCCGCCGGTTTTACTACCAGTTTTATAGAATTGGTGTGAACCGGGAGGGAACCCACCACTGCTTCCACGCATGCACCTGGCTTCAAAAATGTGCCTAAACAGGATGGCATAGAGCTGGGACGGGTGGGCGGGCCCACCCGCAATTTCCGCTACCAGTTCAGGTGAACCGATCCGAACAGGCTGAATACCACCTCTGAAGTAAACTATATCCCAATCTGATTATCTCTTGATTTCAATTCCCACCATCACTTTGGTCCCAGCTTGAACATTGGATGGGAAGCGAAGTAAATTGCTTTAATTTCTTTCTCCAACTCTTGAGTGAAACAGTTTACAGGTAGTCCTCGACTTACGACCACATTTGAGCCCAAAATTTCTGTTGTTAAGTAAGACATTTGTTAAGTGAGTTTTGCTCCATTTTATGACCTTTCTTGCCACAGCTGTTAAGTGAATCACTGCAGTTGATGTGTTAGTAACCTAGTTGTTAAGTGAATCTGGTTTCCCCTATTGACTTTGCTTGTCAGAAGGTTGCAATCACATGACCTTGGGACACAGCAACCATCTTAAGTATGAAACATCTGAATTTTGATCACATGATCATGGGGTTGCTGCAAAGGTCATAACTGAAAAACAGTCATAAGTCCCTTTTTTCAGTGCCGTTGTAACTTTGAACGGTCTCCAAATGAACTGTTGTAAATTGAGGACTACCTGTACATTTTGTTAGCTGTACCCATGTTAGAGTTGTCACCTTTTAAACTAGTAGCCACAGTGTGTAAAATCAGTTGCACATTGTTACCCTTTAGATAAGAACTAGTCAGATGACCAGGAGTGGATAGGACCTGTGCAGCATTTATTGGCTCCTTCATCCAAGGTGGATATTCCTTGCACATTCTTGTCCACAAATGTCAACAGGGAGGGTCAAAATCTCACACTGATGGCTACAGTCATGCAATCAAAGCCCACAGAAAGTCCTTGACTTATGAACACAATTGAGCCCAACATTTCCATTGCTGAACAAGACAGTTGCTAGTTGAGTTGTGCTCTGTTTTATGGCCTTTTTTATGGCCTGCAGTTGTCCCAAAGGTGCTTTTTCAAGAGGCAACTTGGACTTTCTTGTTTTTTCTTTGAAGATATTTTGCTTCTCATCCAAGAAGCTTCTTCAGCTCTGACTGGATGGTGGGGAATGGAAAGATTTATACTCCTTGCAGACACTGGTCATTTGCATCAGAGGTGGGTTTCAGCGGGTTCTGACCAGTTCTGGAGAACCGGTAGCGGAAATTTTGAGTAGTTCAGAGAACCGGTAGTAAAAATTCTGACTGGCCCCGCCCCCATCTATTTTCTGCCTCCCAAGTCCCAGCTGATCAGGAGGAAATAGAGATTTTACAGTATCCTTCCCCTGGAGTGGGTGGGAATGGAGATTTTACAGTATCCTTCCCCTACCACGCCCACCACGCCACACCCAACAAGCCATGCCACGCCCAACAAGCCACACCCACAGAACCGGTAGTAAAAATTCTGACTGGCCCCACCCCCATCTATTCTCTGCCTGCCAAGTCCCAGTTTATCGTGAGGAAATGGGGATTTTGCAGTAACCTTCCCCTGGATTGGGGAGGGAATGGAAATTTTTTGCAGTATCCTTCCCCTGGAGTGGGGTTGGAATGGAGGTTTTACAGTAGTCTTCCCCTGCCACACCCACCAAGCCACACCCACCAAGCCATGCCATGCCCACCAAGCCACACTCACAGAACCGGTAGTAAAAATTTTTGAAACCCACCACTGATTTGCATCCTTTTAGTGAGTTGTTAAGGTCACCAGGAGGTTTATCTGTGTCCTGAGGGTCACTTGCTCCTGGTCCCTGTAGTCTGCAATTTTTGCTCTGAAAATCCATTCCTACTCCCACACCATTCAATCTGGTGTTTATCCCAGATTGTAACGTCTTCAAAGAAAAAACAAAGACAGTCCAGTTGGATGACTGAGAATCTCTACAGACTTTTCCTTGCAGTTCTTCACTTGGGCTCATCCATTAGACATGCCAACAGATGGTGAAGAACCAGGAGGCAGAAATGTTGACGGTTCTCTCCAATTGAGCACACAGATGGATTCTGCGAGCACAAAGCAATGTAAAGGTAAAGATTCCCCTCACACATATGTGCTAGTCGTTCCTGACTCTAGGGGGTGGTGCTCAATTCTGCTTCAAAGCCGAAGAGCCAGCGCTATCTGTAGACGTCTCCATGGTCATGTGGCCGGCATGACTAAACACCAAAGGCGCACGGAACGCTGTTACCTTCCCATCAATGGTGGTCCCTATTTTTCTACTTGCATTTTTGTACATGCTTTCGAACTGCTAGGTTGGCAGAAGCTGGGACAAGTAACGGGAGTTCACCCCGTTACGCGGCACTAGGGATTCGAACTGCTGACCTTTCGATCGACAAGCTCAGCATCTTAGCCACTGAACCACCGCGTCAATGCAATGATACGTTGCCATTTCCGACCTGGCCCGTAACTGCTTTGAAACAGGATTCCTCATCCATTGATCTGCCTCTACAATAGTATAGGGCAATACTGAAATTGCTTGCAGTTGTAAGCCTTTGGTTATCTTGTCACAGATGAGCATCCCCAGATTAGAAAACCTCTATAACCCATTGTCTCTCCCATCTTTTTCTGTCTTGCTGTACAACTGATAAACACCTTTCCCTGTAACCCAGGTATGTCAAACTCAAGGCCTGTGGACCGGATCCGGCTCGTGATGTGGTCAGATCCAGCCCATGGGGTCATCCTGTATGTAAGGGGCCAACACGTGTCAGCCAGGTTTACCCGCATCGCTTTGGCCCAGTCTACCCATTGCGAAGACAAAACATCAAGCCAGCGTGGCTTCGGCCTGGTCTACCTAATGCAAAGAGGAAACATGCCAGCAGTTTGGGGAGTGGCGTCAAGCTGGCCACACCCACCCACCCAGCCACACCCAGTGAGTGGCTTCAAACTGGCCATGCCCCCCCAGTCAGCCACGCCCTCCCCAGCCCTCCCGCCCAAGGTCAACCACAGCCCTGAGGCGGCCATCAATGAAATTGAGTTTGACATTCCTGGGTTACAGGGAAAGGTGTTTATCAGTTGTACAGCAAGACAGAACTGTAACCCCTAATCTGACTCTGGAAAGGAGGAAATGTATCTTTAAAAATATGGCTTGAAAGAGCACAACAAAGAACATTGGGAGGGAGAAGTTTCTTTTAGTTTTCTCCAGATTGAACTTGTTTCTTTCTCTCATGTATCTAATTTAGCACCTTACGCTGAAGAAGTGTGAAGTGGATCTGATGATTTTAAATGACTCAATTATATGCTTCTATAGGTAGCTTCTGACTTCTTCAGAACTGAGAAGTGGTTAATGTTTCTCCTAGGGACCATTTTCTCCAATATAAATCGCTTTGCAAAATCTCCTGAATGCATTTTAGATCCTTATGTTTTACTTCCTGTAGTTATAGATTTCTTCCCAATGGTGGCTTCCCTCCTTGGAGATGCCCAACATTTGGGTAAGATATTTTATTGCCATATCATGGTCTTGGTTTCTTCTCTGATCCAACGATTTGCATCACCTTGTAGTACAGGCAGCAATCTATTCTTGGACATTTCTATCTGCATTGGTTAGGTTTCTTAACATATACCTTTCATTCTTTTTCCTAATTAAATTACAGCAAAAAAAAAAAAAAAATTGGTATGTTACAGAACAAAAGCATCAATTTTTAGCAAGCCTTGAGTTAGTTTTACATTTCAGTAAGGTAGACCAAGAAAGGAACAGAAAGGATATCTAGCTTTTTAAGAATAGCTTAACATTTAGCAAGGGGTATGTGCATCTGTGTCTGTCTGAGAGAGAAAAAAATTTGAGGGTGAGGGTGAGGCAGCCATTCCTAGGTCCACTTCAACTACAACCAGTGAACCAAATCAGTGTACGGTTTTACAAGACGTCCAGATAGCTCATTTTAGAATAAAAGTAAATAAAATTTAAAATATTGGATGGCTGAGACTTAGAATATAAATGATTGTAATCCAGCATAGCAGGTTCTGCTGTCTCCCAAAGAAGTTTGGGATCAAGATGACAAATATCCTAAAAATCAACATGCATTTAGGAACACTCAAGGGTGGATTGCCCCCGGTTCGGACCGGTTCACAAGAACCGGTAGTAAAACCGGCTGGAGGCCCCGCCCACTGCCCCGGATGTCATCATCAGTGATCTGCGCATGCGCAGAAGCTAAGCTCGTGCACATGCGATGCAAGCACGCACGCACGATCCCGTTGCGAACTGGTAGTAAAGGTAAGTAGAACCCATCCCTGGGAAGACTACATTTAAAAACTATGGAAGAGCTAAATTAAACTTAGTCCTCAAATTGGGTAGGAAGAAACGTACATTGAACAAAAATATATGGACTGAAGTATTGAATTTGTCAGTGCAAATCAGGAACATTTTATTTTTCTTTATTTATTACAAACTTTGCCAAATTCTGAAAGCTCCACTAACAGAGAAGGAAAGAATCTGAGATTAAAAGAGGAAGAATGAAACAGGAAGAATGAAACAGGGAGGTGCCTCCATTTCTATCAAAAGTTTATTATGTTGTTTATAGCAACACCTTGCTGCTGACATAACATTATTTGTGTTTATCACACAGGTCTCAAGTTGAAAGGTTTTTAGGCAAAGAGTTTGTCTTGGTTTCTTTCCTTTTTTTTCTTTTCTTTTTTCTTTTTCTCTTTGCAATTTATGACTAGCAGGCAGTGTTCTTTTTAGTCCAGTTTGGTGCAGTTTTAAGCCACATGTCTAGAAAACCCATGTCATCCCAGTATTTCATTTGCTGCTCTGTTATGCTGGAAGAAGCTTCAGACTTCTCTGAAACACCCAGAACCAAGAAAAAGAGACTGGATAAAGGAGGTGAGATTTTAGCGTGGATATAACCACCACATTCCTGTGGTGAACTGTAATTACTCTGCATTTTAGGGCCTACTGCATTTTCCTAAAGAAAATTACTTTAAAATATGACAAATATTTTTCTCCCATGAACAAGATACGATCTCCCTCTCTCTTCTGCAGACATTAAATAATGCAGGCCTTGATCAAATAGCTGAATATATATTTCAAAACCAGCAATTAACACTTGATGGGGCTGGATGTTTAGGCTCTCTAATTGCTAGTGTGCTGATCTAATTATAACTTTAAAATAAAAAAAAAGCCAACAAGTGCCTAGGAGCAATAGATGAATGATATAGATGTGATTTTAAATAGCGTGATGATTCATTAGTAATGATTGACAAGTGTATCAGTCTGATAATATTTATATTATATGGATTTCTAAGCTTCACCATAATTCACTTGCACTGGAAGCATCTGTGGATATTTGTAGTAGGGTAGTTGAGATATTTTCTACTTTAGAATTATTTCGTGAATGGGTAGCATTGATTCAGTCTTTGAACACCTTTGCTTGCTGCATATATGAAATTAAATTTCAAGTTTAGGTAACAGAGATATAGACAAAAACTGTGGAGAGCTGGTTTTTCATCTGTGGTGTATGGTACGTTCTTGTGTTGGCATTCACATATAGCAATAGCACTTAGACTTATATGAGCCGCCCTGAGTCTTCAGAGAGGGGCGGCATACAAATTGAATTAATAAATAATAAATATATACCGCTTCACAATGCTTTACAGCCCTCTCTAAGCAGTTTTACAGAGTCAACATATTGCCCCCAGCAATCTGGGTCTTCATTTTACTGACTTCGGAAGGATGGAAGGCTGAGTCAACCTTGAGCCTGTCAGGATCGAACGCCTGGCAATGGGCAGAATTAACCAGCAATACTGCATTCTAAATACTGGGATTTCTAACTTTGACAGTAGTTTCTAGTGACTACAGATTGATTTTTTTTTATGGCTATATTTGAACTCCATAAGATAAAATACTATTAAAAACCTGCCATGTTATAAGTTTAAAAAGCAAATACTGAGAAACAGATTAAGCCTGAATTGTGTTTGAGCCTGAAAAACAATATATAAACAAAGCAACAGGCTAACATTGGTACTCCTAAAGCAATTTAGACCATGTCTCAAGAAAACTTCAGTTCATAGTCTAAAAACAAGGGGTCATCCCTGACATTTCCTTCCCTCTCCTCTTATTACCTAAGGCCTTAAACTTTCATTGGTAAATTTAGTAATTTCTGCATCAATGAATGAATACCAACACAAAAGCATGAAAGTAATGCTTGAAATATTTTTAAATGCCTGCTCTTCACACAATTACTTGCTCTTCACACAAGTACTGTGTATGTGCTTGCTGACGTTACTGAAAAGCCAACAGTAGATCTTATACTGTGGATCTTATACTATGTTGACTGCATGCCCCGTGCTTACAAATTCAACCCCCAAAAATGAAACCTTTCAAGATAATATGCATGGTAGGTTCTCCTTTGGTGGATGTAGCTCTTGTTTTTCTAAGTTCTGGAGCTTCCCTGTTGTAAGTCTCCCTCCTTCCCTGAAGGGGATGCTATGCTCACCCATAACCAATTCCCTCCTTCCTTTACTCTCTTGCTTGCAGGAAGACTAGGACAATAAATAGGAGAAGGAAAGGTTTCTGGGAAGGCTTTGAGGAAGAACTAAGCAGCAAGAACCTTCCTCATTTCTGTTTTCTTCCAAGCTTGGTTGGTTTCTTTTCTCTTTAACCAAAACTTATGGTAAGGAATAATTGAGATAGTAGGTCTGCAAGGATTCCATTCTTTGTCAACCCAACCCATTGCACAGAGCTGTTCTTGCAGGAAAAATAGGAAGAGGGGATACTATGCATGCCACCTTGAGCTCCTGTACAAAAAAGGCAGGATCTAAATTAAATCTTAACTGTGAATGATGATAGCATTGCCATTTCAAATATATTCCCCAGTCCTAATCCCAAACCATGCCTAGCTATGAATACAATGTTAGGGAACTAGTCAAGGAGAAAACAAAACTTTCCCCTTTTCCTAGATGTTGTGAATTTGATTGTGAATGCTTGAAACATAGTATGTTTTTAGGCAGCAGACATACCTGGAAGCATGCCCTACTGAAAGCAATGAGATATGACTTTGGCATAGGATCACAGCCTTTGTTGATTAATGGGTTGCATTTAATGACTCAAAGAAGCCAAGTACTAGGTGGCTTCTCTGTAGCATGGAATTTTTAAAAATAGAAATTGTGTGTATGTGTGGGTGTGTATGTATACACCCACACACAGAGAGAGTGTATATATATGTGTGTGTGTGTGTTTTCGGAGGTTTTCGTGGGTGTTTGTATGTAGGTGTTTGGTTATTCGGGTTTTCTCCCATGTAAACTTGGAAGTGTCTTGGTGACGTTTTGACGAAGTCTCATTCGTCATCTTCAGGCTGGTGTTTTCGGCTTCGTGCTTCTAGGAGCATGAAGCCGAAAACACCAGCCTGAAGATGACGAATGAGACTTCGTCGAAACGTTGACAAATGAAGATGACGAATGAGACTTCGTCAAAACGTTGACAAATGAAGATGACGAATGAGACTTCGTCGAAACGTCACCAATACACTTCCAATTTTACGTGGGAGAAAACCCGAATAACCAAAGACATATATATATATATATACACACACATATATATACACACACACACACATACACACACACACACACACACACCCTTTTCCCCCCAAAATAAGACATCCCCTGATAATAAGCCCAATTGGGCTTTTGAGCACATGGAAATAAGGCCAAGTGCTTATTTCAGGGTTCAAAAAAATATAAACTTTTACATTATTTTCCCTATTTTATGCCTTGTTTTAGGAGTAAACCACAAACAGTATTATACACTGATAAGTGCAGGCAAACCATATAACATTGTTTGTGGTTTACTCCTAAAACAAGACATAAAGATAGGGAAATTAATGTTGTAAAGCAGGATCACAGTTAAGTTCCAATTAAGCTGATTTATTAGTTATGCCTATACACAAGGAATCTGATCAAATAAGCAATCAGCACTCAATTGGTACTAGATAAGAGTTAATGGAATTCAAAATAGGCTGGGCTTGTGAGATTGTAACAATTCCAGAATGATTCCTCTCTTGACTCCACCCACCTCCATGTTCTGCCTCTCCTCTTACAGCATGTGATCTTAGCTTCAGCTAAGCCTTGTTTCTTAACCTGGCAATTAAAAAAAAATAATACATGGGCGTCTACTCCAAGAATGGGAATTGAAGTCCACATATCTTAAAGTTGTTAAGGCTTTTTTTGTATTATGCTGTTAAATGAAATGAAATGTTCTTCTCTAAATTTTAAAATATAGTAGATAATTGTGGGCCTTAAAGAGTTGCTGCTTTGGTATACATAACCTGCAGGGGTCATTGAGATTTACCTTCTTTTGCTCCTGCAATTAGTTTTTCTTTGCAGGGTTTTGAGATACTGCTACCAGACTGCATGGAATGAGTCTGCTGATCTGTTTGCTCCCTATTTTAGGCAACTCATAAGTTTACAACACAGTCATCTTATTTTAATTATGTGTTTGCTTTTTCTTTTGAGTCTGTGTTGATTCTTGGCAAGTGCCTGGATAAGTCCCTGCTGTTTTCTTGGTATGGCTTTTTGGACACCCTAGAGCGAGAGTGACTGACCTAAAGCGGGACTAGAACTCATGGTCTCCTGTCTTCTAGCCTGATGCCTTCACTATTACACCAAACTGGCTGTCATGCAATCATATTATGGGCCTACATAACAGTAAATTCTGAGGAGTTCAATGAAGATATCGAAGGGGATATTGGATTGTATTTGCAGGTTCCTTCACATGTGACCTTCACTGAAGAAGCCTAGAAAAGTGCAGAAGGCCATCCAGTGTTGCTATTGCTTTCCCCAGGCTATTTAGTTCAGCCAAAATAATGACTTGTCCATTATTCAGAACTGATGTTTTCCAGGCTAACCCAGGGGTGAAATCTAGCAGGTTCTGACAGGTTCTGGAGAACAGGTAGCAGAAATTTTTAGCAGTTCGGAGAACTGGCAAATACTACCTTTAGCTGGCCCCAGAGTGGGGAGGGAATGGAGATTTTGCAGTATCCTTCCCCTGGAGTGGGGTGGGAATGGAGATTTTGCAGTATCCTTACCCTGCCATGCCCACCAAGCCACGCCCACCAAGCCACACCCACAGAACTGGTAGTAAAAAAAATTGCATTTCACCACTGGGCTAACCCAAAGCATTTATTGTGTGAACTAATGAGCCATTCCATTCCACACAGAGAAGCAGATTGAACCAGAAGCTGAAATGAACTTCAGTGCTGCTATAGCCCTTCGACCTGAGATGACTAGCATACTCTATCCAGTAACAGAATTAACCTTGCATGGTTTCTGCAGTTTTTCCCCCTACATCAAAAGTAACCTCTTATCGACATGACAATGCCTTGTGTTTTTTAGCATTACTTATATGCATCCCCTTCTGTCTTTCTCCATGTCTTCGCCCCAAAAGAATATGAAAGATGGCATCCATGTTTCGGAGTGAAGAGATGTGTCTGAGGCAACTTTTTCTTCAGGTGGAGTCTGCGTATTGCTGTGTTGCAGAACTTGGAGAGCTGGGTTTGGTCCAGTTCAGAGATGTGAGTAGATACTAAAAGTAACCCAGCCTGTACTTCTCAGTACCCATAGAAAAGAGGGGAATGTCATCTACAGCAGCAAGAATGGGGATATTGTAGAGTTTGAAGATGCTAGACTAGATCTAGGGAGATCCCTTTGAACCGGAAATGGGACAAATTGCCACAGCCAACTTCCTGTGGCTAACTCGCCACAGCCAACTCACTGCTGCAGGACAATTTAATAATTCTATTTAATTATTTAAAATAAATAAAAACTATTTTTATTTTTGCCATTCACATTTCAGCCTGTCTCTCCTTTTTCATCCTTTCTTTAATGATTCTATTTCCTCATTTCTTTAGTATTAGTGTAACTCACTAATACTCACAACAGTGAGTTTTCTTATGGCAAGATGGCTGTAGAAAGTTGCCCTGCAGTGAGGTGAAAAGTGTGAAAAGTTGTCTGTGGTGAGTTAGCCATGGCGAGTAGGCCATGGTGAACTGTCATAGACCCTGTTGAAATCTGCCCTAAATTAGTCACTGTTTCTCAGTGCAGTTTGGCTCCCCAAAATAAATTGAAACCCTCTGGTAAATTGCCTTGAGCACAGAAAAAGGCATGGTATAAATTTAATACACAAGAATGACAGGAACTGCAACGTTTCTTGAGGGGAAGAAAAAGAGGGGAAGAGAAAGTAGCATTAGAAAAGAAAAAGGAATATTCCAGAGGGAATTATTAACCCCACCCACTTTGGGTCTACGTGTTCTGCTACTGTTGGCATGAAATACCCAACAATTTATTTGTAAGGGAATATGGTTCTTGATAAAATGAAATGGTGACCTTTGCTTGCGTAATATGCTCTACTCTTGGGAGGTGAAAATGCATCATCTTGAATATTTTATAACCTTGCATAGCAGAATGCTGAGACGAAAGATCAGTAATGACAAGCAAGTTGAGTTTCTGGGAAATTCCTTTATTGCTGATTTTTTTTAAAGTGGAGGGGGGAAATCTTTAAATGTTTAGAGGATAAAACAATATTTCTTAAACTACAACTCTGAAGTCACTAAGAATAAGAAGAATGGGAATGGTATAGTCTTTAAAACCAATTTTTTAAAAAAAATTACAAAAAGATGTGCTTTTCAGAATTCTTCTCTGCATTAATGCACTACACAAACAAAAAACAAATCAATGCAAAATAAGTGCATAGGAAGAAAGTGTCTGTGTTATAGAACATGACATGTAGTGTAGAACAGTGGTCCCCAACCTTTTTATCGCCGCGGCCCGCTGAGCGTGCGCAGGGGTGGGGGCACGGCCCAGGAGCTTTTGCGCACGGCCCATTGCGCACGGCCCAGGAGCTTTTGCGCACGGCCCAGGAGCCTTTGCGCTGCAGCGTTCATGTCCCCCGGCCGCTGTGCGGCCCGGTGCCAGGTACTCCACGGCCCGGCACCGGTCCGCGGACCGGGGGTTGGGGACCACTGGTGTAGAATATTGGTAAATTGTTGATTTAGGATGCTTTTCATGGACTGTTCATTAAGTTTGCACTTAGCGCTGTTGTGTTTCTTTATAACCAAGCATAATGAATATAGAATAATTGCTATTCTAGCCTGTTAGCTTTGTTTTCAGCATGACTCTCTTGAAAGAAGGAAAAATAGTAAATAGTAATTTAAATAGACACTATCAAGTCAGGCCCAGTTTCAGTGACTCTACCATCTTGGCCTGACCCAAATGATAACCACTGGCTGGCTCTTGCAAGGATATTTCCCTGATACCTTCCAAGTTCCGACTATCTGCTTTATTCTTTGCCTCTCTCCATTTTTATACTTCTCTCAACCTTGCCAAGCATAGTCTCTTCTAATTGATTGTTTGCTTACATCACCTATTTTAAGTGTCTGAGTTTCTGCTTACCAATCTTTGCCTCAAGGGACCAATTGTCCAGGACCAATTGATTCATTCTTCTTGCTGTTTATGGTACTTTTAATAACAGTTTCCTTCTCTCTTGTATTCTTTCTCAATGCCCAACATTCGCAGTTTAACACAGAAAAACAATTGCTTTTATTATTCTGATTATTATTCTTTTTATATGAGAAATATGCTCATTCTGCATTATCTTTCCTAAAACAGTTATTACTTTCCTCCCTGGGATAAATCTCTTTATTTCTTTATCAATCTTGATTAAAAAAAAATAAAGTTATTCACCATCTTGATTACTTTACTCTTCAGTTGTGCTTCCACAAGGGATATTAGCTGGTATCTTTTTTTTTTAAATATAACATCGTTTTTTCACTTCCTCCTTTTAAACTGAGCTTTGCTAGTGAGCCATTCCACTCTTGTCATTCTTGAAGTACATTTGCTAATCCGTTAAAAAGATCTAAAGATCATATGCCTTCTTAGCTCAACTCTTTCCTGAATCACTCTGTTTCTCCAAGCTCAGTTCTTAGTAACTTGTTTATTGTAAATATTTCTCAGAAGAATCAAATGTTCTGCATACCCATTCAGCATTTAATTAGGAAACTCAGCATTATTAAATTATATTTTGTTTAGCAACAGGCCTGTTAAGTTCCACCCTTTGTACCTTATGATTCTTGATGAACGTATCTTTTATTTTATGTACACTGAGAGCATATGCACCAAGACAAACTCCTTGTGTGTCCAATCACACTTGGCCAATAAAAAATTCTATTCTATTCTATTCTATTCTATTCTATTCTATTCTATTCTATTCCATTCCATTCCATTCCATTCCATTCCATTCCATTCCACTCACTCCACTCCACTCCACTCCACTCCACTCCACTCCACTCCACTCTATTCTATTCTATTCTATTTAAATTCTTTTCGTAAAAGTCTAAGCGTTACCTATGTAGAAAGCCAAACATCACATTTTTCACCCTATTTATAAATAATGGATTTAAGGGAACCTTCGTTTGTGGTCTACAATGCGGGCAAATATATTACATGAGAAAAATATATGAATGACCTACAAAATTATGAATGTGAAACTATCTGTATTTATAATCTTTAAAACCAATTTTTAAAAATAATCAGTTTAAACTATCATTTGCTAGCTCTGTAGGCCTTTTCTTAAAGAGAAGTTCTTCACCTACCTTCTGGTTGCACAATATTAGTTATGATATTCTCCATAGTAATACATTAGTTTGAAGAAATAAGTTTACATTGATCTGTTAATGGAGATGTCCAGTTGAATTCTTTGATATGCACTTCCACTAAATCTTCATGACTTCAGTTTTCTTTACTTTCATGTTATCTGATGTTTTAGAATAATAATTTCTAGAGTTCTTAGCCATCAGCCTGAATGGATGGATGGATGGGTGGGTGGGTGGGTGGATGATAGAAAGATAGATAGATGGATGGATGGATAGATAGATAGAGGATGGATGGATGGATGGATGGATGGATGGATGGATGGTAGGTAGGTAGGTAGATAGATAGATAGATAGATAGATAGATAGATAGATAGATAGATAGATAATATTGCTAATTTGGCTAATCTTTTATTTTTATATGAATTTTCTTTAGTTGAATGCAAACGTGAACAACTTTCAAAGAAGGTTTGTGAATGAAGTTAGAAGATGTGAATCCTTAGAAAGGGTCCTTCGTAAGTAGCTTTTAGTTTATTGAAAAATTAAATGTATTGAGAACTGTTCTTAATGCAACAATCTCTAGAATGCTTTAGCTCACAAAAACAGCAATTATTAGCACTTTTTGATTAAGCATTTTAAAAGTCCCCAGAAATTGAGCAAAAAGTGGAAATAAGGTACAGTATTAATTGGAAGGGAGGCACTGTTTGCTGCAAATCACTGTAGACCGGGGATCCCCAACCTCCATCAGTCCATGGCCTGCCAGGAACCAGGCCGCGCAAGTGAATGGAACCAGACTGTGAGTGAAACTATGCCACCCCTCCAGTCCATGGAAAAACCATCCTCCACAGAACCGGTCCCTGGTGCCCAAAGGTTTGGGGGCAGCAGCTATGGACCATGCCCAAGTGAATAGAAAATCCCAAAGGCAGAGTTCAGATTCCTAAAAATGTATTGCAGTAAAACCTTTTGCTGCAGATCTTGTGGAATCTGCTGTTCAGTGCCGACACTAAGGCTTAGTTGCCTAAATAAACTTTGCTTAGAAAAAGTTGCCTCCTATGGGTTAACATTCAAGGATGTCCCAAAGGTGCTTTTTCATTCAAGGATGTAGTTACATAAACCACATGGGGCTATTATCTATGTATGAGTAAGGAGGAAAGTTTAAAAATGCGATTAGCTTTCTTGGGAACCCTCTTCGTAAACCCTTCTCCACCATTCTTCCCAGACCATTTTTGTTTTTGAAAAAGTTTTGTGATTTTCTGTAGATCCTTGGCAAACTAAGCAATAAAAACAAATATGTTCAACTTTCCATAGATTTAGCCTACCTGTTTTTTATGAGAGATGTCTTCTGCCTTGTAAAAATGAAAATATTTCCCTGTGTTTCTTCCAGTGATGCCATTATAGAATAGAATAGAATTCAATTCAATTCAATTCAATTCTTTATTGGCCAAGTGTGATTGGACATACAAGGAATTTGTCTTTGGTGCATATGCTCTCAGTGTACATAAAAAGAAAAGATACATTCGTCAAGAATCATAAGGTACAACACTTAATGATAGTCATAGGGCACAAATAAACAATCAAATCATACTAGGAAACAATCAATATAAACCGTAAGGATACAAGCAACAAAGTTACAGTCATACAGTCATAAGTGGGAGGAGATGGGTGATAGGAATGATGAGAAGATTAATAGTAGTGCAGACTTAGTGAATACTTTGACAGTGTTGAGGGAATTACCATGTTTCCCCGAAAATAAGACCCTGTCTTATATTTTTTTGAACCCTGAAATAAGAGCTTGGCCTTATTGCCATGCACTCAAAATCCTGATCAGGCTTATTATCAGGGGATGTCTTATGTTGGGGGAAACAGGGTATTTGTTTAGCAGGGTGATAGTGTTCGGGAAAAAACTGTTCTTGTGTCGAGTTGTTCTGGTGTAAAGTGCTCTATAGCATCATTTTGAGGGTAGGAGTTGAGTTATACCATTGCCAATTAAGAAAACCAGAGATTTACCACTCACAGCCTGGTTGCGCCAGTGATTAATGCAGAGGATATCTCTTTAATGTGACACAATTTTTGACTCCATTTATTAAAGAGGTGAAAAGTTAAGCCTATATTTATATTCATACAAAATCCTTAATCACCGAAGTTACAACTAACCAAGTTTTCATATGGTGTGGAAAAGGCAGCAGAGTGTGTTTTGTGAACTTAGCTAGTGTGTTTCCATTTGTTTTTCCTCCCAGGTTTTCTGGAAAGTGAGATGGGAGAGGAGATCCTGCCTGTCATATATGGGAAATATCCAGACACTCCACCACCACGAGAAATGATTGACTTAGAGGTAGTCTTTGCATGTTTCTGGTTAGAGAAGCATGATAGACAGTTGCGTTGAGCCAGCAAGAGACGACAATCCAAAATAACATTAAGTCAAGATCTTTATAACACACAGAATTGTTTGTTTGATATAGAAAGTTTATAAATGCAACCACTTATTTAATTTTGTCGTTCCTAATTGTAGCTCTGGCTTTATTATGTTTTATCCTTCTTAGGCCTACTACTCTTTCTTTTTTTAAAAAAAAATATTTCATTTTACTATTCTATTGTTATTTCATGGTATGCTCTACATTATGGTTACAAAAATAGTTATGTACTTATGGTTCTCATCTTCTCCAGCCATGCTGCAGATTATGATACCAATAATCCAATATATTGTGAAGGCACAGATTGGGGGATTGCTGTAACTAATATTTAAACCTGGGAGGGTAGGAATTGGGCAATCCAGTACTTCTTTCTCAGTCTTAAAAGCTAAGCAGGGTTGCATTTAATTGGTGCTAGATAGAAGACCTCAGGAATACCAGAGTTATAGGCTAACCAGGGAAGGTATAAACACTTCTGGAAAAAAAAACCAATGTCAATGAAGTAACAAGAAATCACCATTGATTCAAATGAATATTTTCTTTTTTTTTCTGTTAGTCTAAACAGACTATGATCAGAAGGGTTAATGGTTAAAGTTGAATGAAGAACAAAAAGTAGAATGACTTGGAAGCTTAGTGCTTAACTAGCAGAGCTGTAAAAAAATACACGTTAGAATCCCTCATTGTTTTACCTAACGTAGACAGAAGAAGATTTGTTGGATTTCCTGTTAGTTATTTTGCTATCTCCACTTAATTTATGTCATTTGTGAATCATTCATACCCAGAAGTAGGGCTGAGATGTTAATATTCACTGCAAAATTGCCTAACATGCTGAGATGCATTTCGAAATGTTTTCTGTATAATAATCCATCTTTAGAGTAATCTATTTTGTCAGCAGTGAAGTGTGTGACAGAATGATTGGACATACAGTACTTCTGTTTCTCTCCGGCTATAAACAGGCTGTCTTGGAGAAACTGGAAGGTGAGTTGGAAGAAGCCAACCAGAACCTGCAGGCATTGAAGCAGAACTTTCTAGAACTCACTGAACTTAAACATCTCCTGAAGAAAACCCAAGACTTCTTTGAGGTGACCCAATTTTTGAATGCATTCTTGTCATTTGGGTTTAGCTCAACCATCTGAGAGAATCTGGGTTTAGCTCAACCATCTGAGAGACAAACTGTGGGCATTACCATATTTGCAACCTTGAACATCTTGATGCTGTTGTCCCTTCTGTCATCAAACAAAACCACGCAAATGCGTGCTTAGTTAAACAATATTTTCCCTTTCTCCCCACCCCTGGGTGATCACACTGTCCAATTATGAGATGTCCTTTTGTTATGGGAATAGTCCATCTCTTTCTCAAGCACCTCCAGTGGTGACCTTGATGGTTGCCAGGCTTTCACAGTCGACGCACACATTCTCAGGATTCTATACCCCCTCCCCTCCACTGGCAAGTTGAAAAGCATTAAATTTGAAAGAAGCAAAGCAGTTCAATCTTGACTGAATTAACAGAATCTTGCAAGTCTGAAAGTATCCTCTTACCTTTATGGTCCAAGAAACTAGAGAGGGTCCCTACTGAAACATTTGCCATTCTATGTTCCTTCTATGGGCTAAGCTTCCTTGTATTTGACTGTTGCCCTGACTGCAGCTCTTTCCTTGTCTCCCAAGGTCATTCCCATATACTAGTGATGGCTAACTTTTTCTGGACCGAATGCCCAAAGTGTGCGTTAACCCGAACCCCCAAAATGCAATGCATGTGCGCCCCTTGTGCATGCCCCATGCGCATATGCCCCCGTGCATGCATGGCAGAGACCTGATGGCTAGCTGGCCGGTGGGAGGCGTGCGCACATGCGCAGCGGAGCTGAACTGGGGCAACAGCTCGCATGCCCACAGGGAGGGCGCTGCATGCCACCTGTGTGTGCCACAGGTTCACCATCATGGACATGTACCATTACATTAGCTCCAACAATGATTCTGGGAATTCTTACTGATCTACCCAAGTGTCAGCCAAGGATGGCTATGTATTGCTGTGCCAGCCCTCCTTGGTAGACCAGGTTAGGAAACCAACTCTTCTGGAATATTAGAGCTTACTTTTGGAAGTAACGGAGCCTGGTAAAAATAGGCTGTACCTCCTTTTCTTGAGCCTGCCCAAGTCTCTTTCTAACATTATCTTGCTTTCCTGAAAATAAGGCATGTTTCCATCTTCTCTGATGATGTAATTGTTCTTGCTTATTTCCAGTGTTATCTCCCAGCTGGTTATGCCTCCATATGTCCTTCCCCAACACAGTGGCCTTCAGAAGCTCTGGATCTAAGCTTCTGTTCATCCGCTCGTTAGCCTCTAATATTGCTGTAGTATCTAGAGGATGCTAGGATAGTGAAAGTTGTCCTAAAACCCCAATAAATAATAAAGAGGTCTTGGACTGGCTGAGTTTTGGAACAGGATTTTAAATTAAGCCTTTCTCCTGCTTTCAGACTGAGACTAATTTGCCTGATGATTTCTTCAATGAAGATACTTCAGGACTATTGGAATTAAGAAGCACTCCTGCAGCAGTGGCTGCGAAACTGGGGTAAGTATTGTTTCTCTTGTATTGTATCCACCATATTTATATCTTAGTCATATAGCCCATAGTTCAAGTATCTCACTGAAGTGAACGCACTTCCTCCTGGCTGAATGTAGTTGACGGAGAAGAAAATTCTCCATTTAGCCTATTTATTTATTTATCAATATTTTCCCTTTCTCCCAGAGCTGGGCTGAAGAGGCCTCCATGAGGCAGCAAATGATGCAATGAGGATCATATCATTGTAATATAAGAAATATATGAAATATATTTCATATAAGAAATATATGAAAGTGGCTGAGGTTATGTCGTGATGCTGATTTCATCATTGTGCTGAAAGCCTTCAGTCCTATAGCTCCTTCTATAGAAATAGCCATCTCTGCTTGGTACCCAAGCCTTTCTAACCACACCACTAAATTCCAAAGTGCTACCATTTTGAGACCAAAAAAAAAATGAGAAATGCATATAGAATAACCCTTACATAGGCTTAGTTTAAAAAAAATATGGGGGAACACCGCAACTTCTTCCCCACAAAATATTTATTAATATCTAAAACCTGACCCACTTACACATGTGAAGCTAAAGTTAACCCTGTCCTACTACTGCACGGATGTCAAATTCAATTTCATTGAGGGCTGCATCAGGGCTGTGGTTGACCTCGGGACCAGGGGGGCATGGTTGACTGGGTGGGCATGGCCAACTGAGTGGGCGTGGCCACCTTGACGCCACTCCCCAAACTGCTGGCATGTTTTCTCTTCTCAGTGGGTAGACCGGGCCGAAGCTACATTGGCCTGATCTTTCTTCTTCACACTGGGTAGACCAAAATGGCCCTGCGGGCCAGATCTAACCACATTGCAGGCCAGATGTGGGCCGTGGGCCTTGAGTTTGACACCCCTGTACTACTGCATCTCTGTCCTACTAATGTGACCATCACTCAATTGTAAAGTTCCTCAGAGCATGCCATCCTTTTGCTCCCAAAATTTTCCCATTCTGTTTTAGGATATTTCATGCTATTTAAGAATGCTGGGAGTTATCATTCAGTCAGTCATTTTATTTATATCAATAAAATAATCCCAGCGCATGCAGAAAGTGCCTTGGTGAAGAAGGCCAATCTAGGAACTGGTAGTAGGATTACAATTGGTATAATTCAATAAACTAATTACTTCTGAAAGGGTATATTATACAGGGTATTATGTTTGTTTTGCATTCCACAGATTCATAGCTGGTGTGATTAAAAGAGAGAGGCTGGTGACTTTTGAACGTTTGCTGTGGAGAGCCTGCAGGGGAAACATCTACCTGAAGTTCAGTGAAATGGATACACCCTTGGAAGATCCTGTCACTGTAGGTACCGATAGGTTTTTAATTTTGTTGCCTCAGATCTTTTACCTGGGATATAATGCTAGGAAATTGCTGGGATTGTATTTGGTTGCCTCTGTGATTATTTTGAAACTGTTTCTCCTTAAATCATATTTCCTTTCCCAGAAAGAAGAGATGAAAAAGAATGTATTCATCATCTTCTATCAAGGGGAACAGCTGAGACAGAAAATCAAGAAGATTTGTGAAGGGTGAGAAAGAGCATTTTGACTGTAACTGAAATTAATGAATCTTGAGTTGGTCAATTAATGAAACTTGAATTGGCTTTCAGATTGATCTCAGTGGGATTTTAATGCCCACTGTTTTGTCTTGCCTTAGACAAGACCCAGCCTGGAAAATTCAAAGTGTAATTAAGTCCAGAGTTGGAACATGCTGATACAATCCAGGTTGGCTGTGTGAGTTCTAAATCTTTACTCACAACTATCTGATAGAGAATTATCGCTATCACAATCGCTTCTAGTTCTGTAGCTGAAATTTATATTGAACATGTCGTCCCAAAGGTGCTTATTCAAGAGGCACTTGGACTTTCTTTGTTTTTCCTTGAAGACGTTTCACTTCTCATCCAAGAAGCTTCCTCAGTTCTGACTGAGAATTTAGATAAGAAGCGTCGGAACTGAAGAAGCTCCTTGGATGAGAAGCGAAACATCTTCAAGGAAAAACAAAGACAGTCCAGATGCCTCTTGAAAAAGCTCCTTTGGGTCAGCCATGACTTGGATGACTGAGAATCTCCATAGACATATTGAACATGCCCCATTGATTACAAATGTTTGGGGGTGAAGACAGCTCCTTAAAGAGCCAACATGATATCATCCATGTCCAAATTGAAGATAGAGGTCCTCCGGGATTTACAGTATTTTAGAAAACTTGAAGCACCACATTTCTAAATCCAAACCAATTATTCACAGGTTTAGTGGGGTACAAAAAAAATTGTCTTTTTTGGCAAGAGGTGGGAAAAAGTGCAAAAATTCTGTTAAAGCATGTACAAGAAACCCCCATCTGCTATTCAATATTCTTTGTCCTATAGAAATTCAAGATTTGAGATTAATGCTAATGTTTTTATCTCTTGGGTTTTTTTTTTACTGCAAGTTGCTCTTAATTTTAATGCTAGAAAAAAATTAGTGTTAAATTTTACCTACCAGATTTATTAAGATTGGAAGCAGCGCAAAAGATAAGCATTTCCCTAAGCCTTCTCTCTTTCAATTGAGGATGCTGAAACACTAATAGGCGTTCTCCAGCAGATTTTATCAATTTCAAAACTCTCCAGTGAATGGTTCGTGTGCTTTCCTAGATGAAGGTGTCATTAAAGTAAAAGTGACATTCTGACAGGAAAAACCGGCATGCAAAAGAACTGTGAAAAGATCAAAGCTATCGGGCTGAAACCTTGTCTATGTTGGGGAGAAGGGAGGGAATGTAGCTTGTGTGGGCTCTTTTAAAGAGAGAGATTTTTTCCAAGTACAATTTGAGAACTTAAAAGTTCAGTTTAAAATATGGGGTGAGCACCTAAAGCTTTTCCTAATGAAAAACTTAGTTAATATGCTTCAGTTGAAAGTTTGATTTGAATACATTAATGATAAATCCATGCCATGCTTGAAGCTGAAATAATATAGGCCAGTGGTGGCGAATCTTTTACTCACTGAGTGCTGAACAGGTGCGCTGCGCGTGCAACCGCACAATCTCCATATGCGTGCGGCTTTTGTGTGGCTCCCCCTGTGCGCTGAAGGCGCAATTGCACCATCTGTGCATTCACATGGTTTTTGCACGCACACAAACGCCATCTATGCATGTGTACGCTGCGTGCAAGTACTCTCCTGCGCATGTGCAAATGCTCGCGCATGTGCGGGAGAGCTCCGAAGACCAGTTGGGTCCCCTGAATTGCGCGCATGTGCACCGGAGTTCTGAACACCAGCTGGGGTGTTGGGCAACATGCATGCGCAGCTGCAGGTGAGTTGGGCGACAGCTCGCGTGCCCGGAAAGATGGCTCTGTATGCCACCTTGGGCACGCGTGCCATAGGTTCGCCATCACAGATATAGGCATGGATAGCTGCATCAAGGTGGGGTGGAAGAAAAAGTATTGTGATGGTAACCCTACCACTGTTGCATGCAGATGTACAAAAGGAGAAAGGTTTGCATGAGCCATGATAACACAGTGGTTAGAATGCAGTATTGCAGGCTAATTCTGCTGACTGCCAGAGTTCGATTCTCACTGGCTCAAGGTTGACTCAGCCTTCCATCCTTCCAAGGTTGGTAAAATGAGGAGCCAGATTGTTGGGGACAATATGCTGTCTCTGTAAACCGCTTACAGAGGGCTGCAAAGGGGTACATAAGTGCTATTGCTATTGTAATATTGTGCGCACCATCCTGCAAGTTTGATGGTGCCACTGACTGGATAGGTAGCACTTCCTTCTTGCAATGAAGCACTTTCCTTCCATATTTAAGCTTTCCTAGTAATGGAAAGTCCAGACATTCTATACAGCAGTGGAACAAATCAATTTGCCTATTATATAATCTACTCTAGAAATTATATAAAAATATATCTTAAACTCCATGGTCCGTGCAGCCACTAGTGACATTGTGACATTTCTGCCTTGTTCTCTCTCTCTGGCCCACAGTTCCTGAAAAATAATTAAAATATTCAGACCTTTTCTTCTGATACATGTTATGGGGGAAGGTCGACAGGCAGATGGAGCTGAAAGTGTAAATATTACCCTTTAACCCAGATCTTGACTTCACCAAGAGCAAAAGAGTAGCGTGGGAAGCTTCATCTGCCTGCTTGTGAGTAAAACATGCTCAGAACACATACATTCCAAAAGTATATACCATAGAAACCTGGTATATTTGTTCATTACAGATGAGAGAATAATAGGGTGGACAATTTGCAGGATCAATAAAAATGAAAAGTTTAGCAAAAAGCAAAGCATTTTATTGATTCTAATAACGCTCCCAATAGAATATCCCTCATAGCCTGGGAGCAACACAGAGAAAGCCTTTTCCTGCATGTCAAGTAGATGAGTCTTTTTTATTATTATTATTTGTTATTATACATTTTTCTTTATTATACATCACGTTTCCATTTCTGCAACAACAGTGTACTTTCTGTATCAAGTCTCTTTTAAGTATAAAGGTAAAGGTAAAGGTTCCCCTCGCACGTATGTGCTAGTCCTTCCCGACTCTAGGGGGCGGTGCTCATCTCTGTTTCAAAGCCGAAGAGCCAGCGATGTCCAAAGATGTCTCCGTAGTCATGTGGCTGGCATGACTAAACGCCAAAGGCGCACGGAACGCTGTTACCTTCCCACCAAAGGTGGCCCCTATTTTTCTACTTGCATTTTTTACGTGCTTTCGAACTGCTAGGTTGGTAGAAGCTGGGACAAGTAATGGGAGCTCACTCTGTTATGCGGCGCTAGGGATTCGAACCATCGAATTGCCAACCTTTCGAGCGACAAGTTCAGAGTCTTAGCCACTGAGCCACCACGTTCCCCTTTTAAGTATATATAGTATTATACACCCTGATTATAACAATTGTTCTCATAATTATACAATGTAGTCTCTCTTAAATATACATAATCTTGTACGTCTTGTATGACAGTTATTCTCATAGTTATACCATAACACTCTATACCTGTGATGGCAAACCTATGGCACGCGTGCCACAGCTGGCACGCAGAGCCCTCTCTGCGGGCACATGAGCCATCCCCAGCTCAGTTCTACCGCGCATGCACCTCCTGCTGGAGCAACTGATTTTTGGGATGTGCGGGGCGCATGAGGAAGACGCATGCACATGCATGGGGGGGTCACATGTGCAGGTACAGGAGTGGGAGAGGTTGCGTGTGCACATGTGGGGAGCATGGGGGGTCATGCATGCATGCACGGGGGCGCATTGCATTATGGGTGCCGGCACGCACGCTTTCGGCACGCAATGAGAAAAAGGTTAGCCATCAGTGCTCTATACACTTGTCACTCTATATACTTTAATCTATAGTCAAGTACAGTCCAATGGTAATATTACTTATAGTATATAGGCTTATATATCTATATCTATATGTATTTATTTCTATTTTGTTAACCTTCTTTTGTTATTAAATTACTAATCTCTGCGCCTGTTATCTAAGGTAGATGAGTCTTTGAGAAGGATGACTCCAAAACCTTTCTCCTAAAAAACTTAATGGCTTGATAAGCTCTTAATAGCCCTTAAGTCATTTAGCTAGTCAAGTCTTAAGCCATTCAAGACTTACTTTAAAAAGTAATTTTATCTTAAATTATCCATTAAGCAGTTGGAAACCAGTGTAGAACTTTCATTGGGAAAGCCTATAGGATCTGTGTACCTTGTACTGGTTAGCAATCTAGCTACTGCCTTTTTTAACAATTACAACTTCCATACCTTTATTGTAAAGTGCATTTCAGCGGACACAGTGGCTGGAACCAGGTATTGTTTCTTCATTAGGTTCCGTGCCACTGTATATCCCTGTCCCGAATCAGCTGGAGAACGCCGAGAAATGGCTGCTGGCGTGAACACAAGGATTGAAGATCTCAACACAGTAGGTAGTCTTTAGCCTTGCTTGGAGTAATATGCTTAGGTCAGCATGTGCCAATCCTTAGCAGCTATTGGAGCCCTGGCAGAAGTGGACAGTATGTAGTTCAGATATGTGTCCTAGCATCCTTCCTACGGTGCCAGTCAGCAGGTAGTTGGGTCTAGAGACTACCCGTTGTGTTTCTTATAAGGCTTCAGAGCCACATCACTTAGGGCACTATGGGAGATTTAAATGGCAGCTGACAATAAAAATAAAACACCACTGTGGTTGCCATCAGGACTAATAGCAGGTAGAACAATAGGTGGGCATAGTGTGGAAGCTGCTGATATGGGATGGGAGTGAAATGTAAGAAGCTGGAAAATTAGTCAAATGGTCCCAATAACGGGGTAGAGCAGGAGTGTCAAACTGGCAGCCTGCAGGCCGGATGCGTCATGCACAGGCCACGCCCACCCTAGCTCCACAAAAGGAAAAACAATCATGGCAACATGACACCACAAGTTTGACACCCGTGGGGTAGAGCAAATATAAACTATGAATCTAAGCCAGTTCTTTCATCCTACACATGTGTCTGTCTGTAACTGCCAGAATTCCTCAACCAGGAAGGGCATTCTGCAGGTTGGCTGGGGAATTTTAGTATGGTAGTTGTAGCCCATACATTTGTTGGGTTTCTAATCTAAACTTTTGCCCCTACTTTACAGGTGATCATCCAAACTGAGTCCCATCGACAGGGGCTATTGAAGGAGGCATCTGCGAACCTGTGGGCCTGGGGAATCAAAGTGAAGAAAATGAAAGCCATCTACCACATCTTGAATTCTTGCAACATTGATGTCACTCAACAGTGTGTCATTGCAGAGATCTGGTTCCCTGTGATAGATACCCCCAGGATAAAAACAGCACTAAATCAAGGAATGGTAAGGAGAATTCTGTCATTCTTAGCAAACAATATTTACTCAGCTGAGTGCCCTGAATCTGTGGCAGAGTACTTACTTTGCCTGCAGAAAAAAAGGACTGAGGGAAACTTTGCAGATTTTTCAATACCCAACTAGAGAACATGACTAATACTGGATTATTACTAGGTCAACAGTCAAGCAGAAAACAATACTCTCATCAAAGTACTACCAAAGAGAAAACTACATCTCCACCAAAGCTGGCAAGGCAAGCTCCTGTATATAAACAGGGAGCAAACCCCATACTCTCCAGCACTGAAGATATTCCCTTGTTGGATAAGGAAAGCAAACAACCAAGCTAATATATCCTCTTCTATTAGAAAAAGGACTGGTGGGTGTTGAATACTGCAGAGTGTAAGGAAAATGACCCAGATTATGGGGGCAATAAAATGACTTTGTATAAATGTAGAAAAGTATGAAGGCTATTGCTTAACACATTGTAAGATGTCCTGAGTCTCCGGAGAAGGGCGGCATACAAATCAAATTAAAAAAAAAATATGGAGAGATGTAAGCTCTGTTAAACAAATCAACAAAGGGGTGAAAAAATGTCCACAACAGAGTGATGATAATATTTTGACGAGACTCCGCCAGATACCTCCTAATTCACAGGTGTATAAGAAGGAGGAATAGGTACAACACAGACAGGCTTGCAAAATTCTGTTGTTACAACCAAATGTAGTAAATATACTAAACAAGAAATTGTTTAGAGGTAGGACAATGGGTGGAAACTAATCAAGGAGAGAAGCAACTTAGAACTAAGGAGAAATTTCCTGACAGTTAGAACAATTAATCAGTGGAACAACTTGCCTCCAGAAGTTGTGAATGCTCCAACACTGGAAGTTTTAAGAAGATGTTGGGTAACCATTTGTCTGAAGTGGTGTAGGGTTTCCTGCTTAAGCAGGGGGTTGGACTAGAAGACCTCCAAGATCCCTTCCAACTCTGTTATTCTATTCTATTCTATTCTATTCTATTCTATTCTATTCTATTCTATTCTATTCTATTCTATTCTATTCTATTCACCTTTTTGTGGAGTTGATTTCCAGATCTGGCCTGCTTAGACAGATAATTTATCCCAGTACACCAAATTATTTTTTTCATGACTGCAGAATAAGGGAGGATCTCCTGGTACCCAAACTTCTTATCTCTGTTGGAAGTAGAAACGCTACTGATATATACATTTTGCTATGTACTTAAAAAGGTTCAAGCTGGAATAACTAAATCTGGAATAACTAAATAAGTGAAAGGGGTTATCTGTGCTAATTACTACAGTATTGTTTTCAGGGGCTCTCAAAAGTCTCTTTTTTATATATATAAATACAAGTAATCTAGATTGTTGTTATAAGTCCCCTGCTCTTTTTAGCTTTTGTCTGTTGTTTATGTGTCTTTCTTTTAGCCTGCTTTTGTCCGATTCTGACAATTTTTGATATTTTTTAATGTTTATTAAACATCAAACTAGCTAAATTGCTTAACATGTGAGTGGCTCGTGTATTTGCTTGGATCTAGATACAGGAATTCTGAGACAGTGTGTTGGACACAAATTAAACTGGAAATAGCCCGCAGTTGTTTTCCAACAGTGGGAAAGATTCCACAAATTCTCACTGACAGCTCCCTAAAGACTTTTGTTCCCATTATTCTTTGGTAGAGGCTACAGATGTGAGTGCAATATACAGCCAATTTTAACACTGTACTGTAAATGTATTTATTGATTTAACTGTTTTGGTAACCTAAGACCCAAGATTCTAGGCAGTAGACCAGTGTTTCTCAACCTTGGCAACTTTAAGCTGTGTGGATTTCAACACTCAGAATTCCCTAGCCAGGATGGTGGCTGAGTAATTCTGGGAGTTGAAGTCCACCCAGCTTAAAGTTGCCAAGGTTGAGAAACCCTGCAGTAGACTAACAGAAACATGGAGTTGGAAGAAACTGTGGATGTAATGACTGCCTAATTCTAATCATTGTTGACTTGATCTCAGGAACGAAGCGGTTCTACAATCAACCCCATCCTGACTGCTATACAGACCAAGTTGGAACCTCCTACCTTTAACCGGACCAATAAATTCACTGCTGGATTCCAGGCCATTGTAGATGCTTATGGTGTTGGGAATTATAGGGAGATTAACCCAGGTATATGGACTCTGATTTATTTTTGATCCCTTTTTTAAGATAGCAGCAGTGGTGGGATTCAGCCAGTTCTGGCCGGTTTGGGTGAACCAGTAGTTAAATTGCTGGCTGGCCCCTCCCCACCCCTCCCTGCCCCCACCCCTTCCAGGAGTCCCCACGCCCCCCATTTTGGCTCCCAGGTAAGTCCTAGGCCCAAAACGGGATGCAGGGAGGGGCGGTGCATCCCCCACATGGCCCACGGGCCAGTGACTCACTCTCAGTCCGACCCATCTCACAGGATTGTTCTGGGGAAAATAGAAGGAAAGGGTGTTGGATATGTTTGCTGCCTTGAGTTATTTGTAAAAATAATAAAGGTAGGAAATAAACAACAAACAAAATATTAGCGCCTAAAATACTGCTTCTCTTACAATATACATCTCGGGTGGGATTCAGCCGGTTCAGACCAGTTCGGGCATACTGGTAGCTCCGACAATCAGCTGGGAGAGAACCAGTTTGCTCCGACGATCAGGTGGGCCTGCCCGCCTGTCCCTGCGCGCTTTACTAACCTTTATCCTCTCAGCTGATTTGTGTGGCAGAGCGGATTGCCATGCCTCAGCTGTGTTAGTCCCCAGAAGTAACATGGAAGTTTAGTTTTGTCAAAACTGCGCATGTGTCCGCAGTGATCACCGAACCGGTTGTTAAACCGGCAGGATCCCACCACTGCATCCAATATATATCACAGGTAGAACTCAGAGCTAGCCTAGATGAAATTCAGAATAAGGCATTAAACCTTTACATCTTTAAAGGTCACTATAAATAATCGATATAGTAATAGACTGCCTCGAAGCGCATAAAGGATTTTTTGTCTTTTTTGTTTCTATAATTGTCAGAGGCAAGGGGTTTTTTTAATAGAGATTTTTGAGGATTAAAATTTTTAAAAGATTGAGAAGTCTTGATCTAAAAAGAGACACATCCATATACCTATTAAGACCAGATCCTAAAATTATATAATATCTTATCTAAAAACATTCAATTCCAGGTATTCATTATAGTTACCCATATTCTATTTTATAGAAGATAATTATAATTGCCACTTATAATTCATTCCCTACTTGGGGTACTTCAACCCAAAGGAAAACATGGTTTTAAATTAACAGCATTTCATTATTTTATGTGTATATGTGTATGTGTATGTGTATACATATACTGGTATATGGAAAACAAGCATAATATACTGTGTAACAGTGCCATCTGTTGATTCCAACTGAGAAGGCATGTTTTAAAATTTTCATTGAAACCCAGTTCATTAGTCTCTGTTCAAGTTTTGATTAAAAGATGGGTTGGTCCTTACTTAAGTTAGCAGGTTTATCTCTGATTCCCAATTGTAGTCCAATATGTACCTTCTGGCATCAATAAATAAGGAGAATGTTGAAAAGTGTCCATTGCTTCTCAGAAACTTGAGAAACAAACTTTCAGTGTCAGGCAAAAAGATTCTTCGATCCATACTTTGAATTTGGAGGCTCCAAAAATTCCCCACCACTCAAAAAAAAAAGATGTTTGTGAACCATTTGTCTGAAGTGGTATAGGGTTTCCTGCCTAGGCAGGAGGTTGGACTAGAAGACCTCCAAGGTCCCTTCGAACTCTATTATTCTGTATTCTGAACTGATTTAGAATCCCTTGCTTTTGGGGGGCCTGGAAATAAGATTTGTCCCTTCCACTAAATTAGTTGAGCAGAGAAATGTGATATTGTATTCCTGGCTCTTCTGGAGTGATCCTTAACAGCAAGACTAGGCAGTCACTGCCTCCAACTAAACTGGACTTCAATTCTAATTTCCAACCACAGAAACCATGATTTTTCAAATTAAATCAAACTGGTGTATTAGGTAAGGTGTTGACTGGGAAATCAGGACGCTATGACTTCTATGTAGTCCCACCTTAAGCATGAAAAACCTTGGCCCAGTCACTCTCTCTCAATCCAACTCACTTCCTGAGATGGTTGTTGTGGGGAAAATAGGAGGAGGAAGGAGTATCGATACGTTATCCACGTGGAGTTGTGTATGACAAAAAGAAAAAAGGCAGGATAACAATGACAATAATTAGAGGCATCCATTTTTTAAAATGTTCTCTCACTGAACCATCAATTGATTTGCAATGTGTACATGTTTAACGAGTGATGTGACAGGGTTTTTTTTCCCCCTCCCACAGCTCCCTTCACTATCATTACCTTCCCTTTTTTGTTTGCGGTGATGTTTGGTGATTGTGGTCATGGTACAGTCATGCTGGCCTTTGCACTGTGGATGATCAGCAATGAAAAGGTTTTTTTGGCTCAGAAAAATGACAGTGAGGTAGGTGACTTAGGATGGTATCTCAATGCTTACAGCAAGCAGCATTCAAATGTTGTTTTTTTTTAATTTATTATCGGTATATTCTACTCTGCCCAATCTCTGAAATTTGTGGGTTAGATTACTAAATTCTTTAAAGCATCAAGTTTCTAAAAATGTATTTTAAAAATTACAGAAAAAACAATTAAGCAATGAGAGGAAGCCAATCAACCAGTTCAGAGGTGGGTTTCAGCAGGTTCTGACCAGTTCTGGAGAACCAGTAGTGGAAATTTTGAGTAGTTTGGAGAACCGGCAAATACCACCTCTGGTTGGCCACTGAGTGGGGTGGGAGATTTTGCAATATCCTTCCCCCAGGAGTGGGGAGGGAATGGGGATTTTGCAGTATCCTTCCCCTGGAGTGGGGTGGGAATGGAGATTTTACTGTATCCTTCCCCTGCCACACCCACCAAGCCACGCCCATCAAACCATGTCACGCCCACCAAGCCACACCCACAGAACCGGTAGTAAAAAAATTTGAAACCCACCACTGAACCAGTTACTGTTATCAACCAGTTGATTTCAAAGGAAAGATATTATTTATTAAATTTATGTGCCACACAACTCACTACCCAAAGTGACTTAAAATACGGGCAATATAAAACAGAGCAACCCTCTAGAAATGCTGAGGAATATCTTTACCCAGAACTGAAAGAGATGTAAAAGGGCCAGTCATACTTCCTGAAGAGGCATTTCATAATCAGAGTCCCATATCTAAGCAGGCTTTCTTCTTGGTCACCCATCTCACTTCTCATGGTGAGAAGAAGGATCTCCAGAGATGACTCATTTCTTTCCAAAGCAGTAAACAATAGGTGAAGAACTGCTTATGCAGATCTCTTCAACCTGATGCCTTCTCAGCTAGTAGGATCAGTTTTGAGAATTGATGTCCCACATTTCTAGAAGACGCCAAATGGAGAAGGGCACCATAAATGAGGCTGCAGTAAACTTTGTTCTTGATCCTCTCTTGATTATATATAATATTCCTGTGCAGATCTGGAACATCTTTTTCGGTGGACGCTACTTGATCCTTCTCATGAGTATCTTCTCCATTTACACTGGCTTTATTTACAACGATTGCTTCTCCAAATCGTTCAACATATTTGGATCTTCCTGGCGTGTCCGCCCCATGTACAACAATGGTGGATGGACGTAAGTGGCAAACAACGCTTGATAATTGCAGAACATAGCAGCTGTATACTCAGTTTGCTCTTTTGTTTCACAATCTCTTTCTGAATTTATCCCTAATGATCTCTATTTTTCAAATTTCATAAAGGTCTTTAATCAGCAGCTGACTATGATTAAAAGCAAACAGGAAACAGTAGGTCCTAGAAACTTCCCTTAGTTTGATTCAGAAAAGGCATGGCTATAAAATATTTTTTTCTGAGCCAATTCTAAACTTTTGATTCTATCAAGCTCATAATAGAAGCCAAATAGATTTCTCAAATTATTCATAACCCCTAACCCTGGATGTGGTGGTAGGAATTATAGGTCCCCAAGAGATCCGGGGGATGCAGTGGCTCAGTGGCTAAGACGCTCAGCTTGTCGATCAAAAGGTTGGCAGTTCAGCGGTTCAAATCCCTAGTGCTGAGTAACGGAGTGAGTTCCTGTTACTTGTCCCAGCTTCTGCCAACCTAGCAGTTCAAAAGCATGTAAAAGCAAGTAGACAAATAGGAGACATCTTTGGTGGGAAGGTAACAGCGTTCTGTGCACCTTTGCGTTTAGTCATGCTGGCCACATGACCATGGAGACGTCTTCGGACAGCACTGGCTCTTCAGCTTTGAAATGGAGATGAGCACCACCCCCTAGAGTCGGGAATGCAATGGAGAACTATTTTACAGGATCTCTAGAATATTCACTTTTAACCACCAAGGTGACAGAAACATATAAATTGAGGGCTACCATGTTGTACCTTCTGCACCAAACTACCTCGAGAAACATATCACATCTTTCCTTATAATGAGTGATAGAGAAGAGTTCTTAAAGTCATCATACTCCAAACTTCATCAACCTCACTTAGGGAACGGCATCAACACAGAACAAAGTGGGATAGTTTATACAGTAATAGATAATATTGAAAATGTGAAGAGTGACTGGGCCCATTGAAGAAAGAGCAAGCTGATTCAACATAGGAAATGAAAGAAGGTACACCAATTATATAAGCTATTTAGTACAAAAATCTGAGTAGCTCAGTAATCTGAGCTGACCACATAGAAACTGCACAGCCAATGTTTTGGAGTTCAGTGTGTTTATATTGTTTTTCTTATGTTATTCATTGTGAGAAAAGGATATCGCATCTCAGTGACAATCTAATTAACATTTTTCTATTCATCCATAGGGACGAAATTGTTCATGAGAGTGGTGTTCTACAGTTAGATCCAAGTACAAAAGGTGTATATTCTGGAAACCCTTATCCTTTTGGAATTGATCCGGTAATTAGAAATAATTATTTGTCAATTCATAGGAAGAGAGAGATTAGGGGTGAAATGGTTGGGACTCCAATTTCAAAGGAAGAAGTCCGCAAAGACAGGGCTCCTCAAAAGGTTTTTAAGAGCCAAGACAATTATCTTCACTGACTTTTTTTTTTACTACAGATATGTAAACAATTAAATTGTAGGAAGTAGGAAAATGCTTTGTGTATTGACCTTTTTTTTTTGAAAAAAGGAACAAAAAATTGCTAACATTTTTTTTAACCTCATGTCATGAGGCTTTCTTCCAAAAACTCAATTTAATTGCCTTATTGAAGGTATCTGGAAAAAAAGTATGCAAATATATATATATATATATTCTAAATTAAGGTGCAAGGTCAGGAGACTTAGTCTTACAATACTGGAAATATTCAGTGTTTCTCTTCCAGCCTCCATAGCTAGCATTTCTGATATTGGTATCTCTGATTATGAGGAAAGACCAAAGACTATAAGACAGTGATTATTAAAGTGTGATCCTAGGACCCTTTCAGGGGTATGTTAAATCAAAAATATTTACCAGCCTATACTGAAAAATAATACAATATTAGGGCCCCATCAAACCATCATTAGTGGTAGTAACAGTGAATGCTTCAATTTTAATTTTTAATATGATTAGATATTGATAGGTATAACCTCCTCTTATTATAGAAATAGCCATGATTACAACACAGAATGACTTTCAGCTGGTTCATTCTTAAGACGACTTATAAAATATAAATCGTAAAATGAAAATATTTCTGCAATACATCATGCACAAATCTTTTCCCATCCCATATTTTGTGAAATATGTGAGATCTTGAATACATTCTGGAAGAACCAGAAATCGATCATTTTCTTTTGAACTTCGAATAGCAACTTATGTTAAGATGAAAGTTTTACCTCACGCTTCATTATCCTCAACAAGAACTACTGAATTTTGGTTGAGATGCATTTTTATTTAAGTAGAGTGGATTGGCTAAGGGTATGAATGGGAAGATCATTAGCCCCTGAAAATGATATTCTCAAACACTTACTCCTAACTTGCTGCTTTTCTCCACGGAGAATATACACAGTTTCATGTTTGTAGCCTACAGTTTAGCATTCCTGGAAAAGCTTCATTGATTTTGGGGAGAAAAATGGATTTTTGTCCAAATAGACGCAGAGGCATCTGTGTTGTTATAATTGTCAGGGTTCTGATAGATTCCCTAATTAAATCATGAGCCTTGAGCCAAGCTTCAAAAGAAATCCAGTTATTTATTAAGAGCTTCATGTCAGCATGTTCCAAGTGAAGCCAACTCTAAACCCGCATAATTTACGACCCAGGCATGACCCTGTTTCCTCCCTCCCCCCAGGGTGTGTCATCAGTCACATTCATCAATGGAGCAATTTCGCAGGTTGTAGAAATCACTCCCCCTGGCTGCTGTGGGTAACCCTGGGAGACAGCCTTGAGAGAGAGATGTCTGGAATATGCTTTTGTTGTTGGCTGCCGTGCTGCTTCACTGTTTTCCCATCCCTCTTGCCTATGGCAACTCGAGAGCAGGCCAGGGATGCTTTGTGAGTTGACAATAATAATACAACAATCAAAGATTTAATGTTTACTTTCTAAATAAACTTATAACAAGTGAACTATACAGGTTCAATTATTAGGTTCCAATTCTTCACCCTAACAGAAGTGATCTTCAATCTCCTTTCTCCCTGTGTTTCCCCATTGGTAAAAAGAAAGCAAGTTTTATGATTTCACTTGTCTTTTATTCTTTGCTTTCCTTATCTATTTCTTTCAGATTTGGAATATTGCCATCAATAAACTGACTTTCTTGAACTCATACAAAATGAAAATGTCTATCATCATGGGAATCGTACACATGGTTTTTGGGGTGGTACTTAGTCTCTTCAATCATATGTAAGTATTGGTGACTTTATAGGTACAGCAAATGTTTGGATACTATTCTACTGCACCTGTCCCAATCCACTCCATCTAGATGTCAGAGTGATTGACTTACCTTAGTCTTCCACATACTAATCTTTATGTTTCCCTACTCCGCCTTTTAGACTTGTTTTTATATATCTTATATATACATTCACACACACATGCATACACAAAGTTTTCATATTTTTTTTAGACCCTGATATATATTGTATGGTTTTTAATTGACTGTGCCTCACCACTTTTATGGTAGTCTATGGAACAAAAATTTGGTTTATTTTGATTGACTTTCTCTTTCAACAAATTTACTTTTCAACATCACCCAAAGGATGGAAGATTGTTATCTTGTTATAATGAGAGTATGATTTCTTTTATGCCACCCAGCATGGACTTTTATTCGACTTCCATGTTCATGATAACTCTAGCTGGATGCCAATGGCAAATGGTTTGTGGGCATTGTAGTTCAAAACCTCTGAGGAGTACTAACTCTTTGCAAAGTAGGAAATCTTTGTGATTCAGATAGTGCAAGATCACAACTCTAGTAGTTCTGTCTTCTGCAATACTGCGAGGGATGTTGGAAGATGGAATCCTTGTACTTCTGGAAGCCTAAAGGTTCACCATAATCTCATTTCTTCCACTGCTGAACAGTATTATTGGCACCTGTGGGACTTGTGAGCAAGGCATATGTTGTAATGTCACAACACCAATCCCATTATTTACGTAGTTGGTCTTTTTTTAAAGAAATTTTAAAGAAATTTCCCCATAGATAATAAGAAAAACATTTAAAGAAAGAAAAATTGTTTTTATTGGGCATAGTTAAGGACTTTTCACTGGGTGAAACAAAATTGATATTGTATATGGTGACAGCAGCTAGGTTACTGATTGGTCAAAATTGGAAAAGGGATGTTATGCCTACTATTGAAGAATGGACTTTGAAGGTGGCCAGTTTTGCAGAAATGGCAAAGATATCAGCATACTTAAAAGACCGGACTCAAGAGACCTATGCATGGGAGTGGAAGAAATGGATAGATTATGTGCAGAATAAATATCAAACTAGGAAGTACCAGATAGCTTTTAGCTGAATGTTGTGTAGAAATGTATAGTATACAGGGGGTAGAATAGTTGAATGTCATGGAGAAATGCATAGTATACAGGGGGTAGAATAGATGGGCGGTAAAGTATGATACAATATGATTTGGATTTGGATTTCACCTTGGGGAAGTCATGGGGGGAGGGGAGGGTTAAGGAGGGTTAGGGAGGGAAAGTGGGGGGAATGGGAAAATTTGTATTTGTAAAACTCTTTCAAAATAAAATAAAAAAAAATAAAGAAAGAAAAATATAGTGAGGTAAATGTGAAAAAGGAGAGAAAAAGCCGAGAGAAAAGAAGAAAGAAAAAAGGAGAAAGAAAATGAAAGACTACAACATATTACATAGGTGTGTGACTTCCAATCTTCCTCTCAGCAATTATGCATACAATCCTAATCCAACTTCTCCCTCCAGAATTTCATTGCAATCAGGGGTAAGTTCTACTTACCTTTACTACTGGTTTGCAACGGGGCCATGCACGCTTGCTCACTATGCTCGCACGTGTGCATGTTTTTCTGTGCATGCGCAGAAGCTTCTTGATGACGTCTGGGTCAGTGGGCAGAGCCTCCCACCAGTTTTACTACCGGTTCTTGCAAATCAGTCTGAACCGAGGGCAATCCACCACTGATTGCAATCCCCTTCTTTCCACAACCTATTCTTCCTACTCATCAAAACCACAACCACAAGATCATTTTCTTTCTTATGCAAAAAAAAAAAAAGCCCGTAAAGAATTTTTCATCATTGATGGAATGTCTGTAATGGCTTTTCTCTAATCAAAGAAATTAATTTGTCCATCTTAGCAAGTTTGACCACTTCACCCACTATTCCTCCATGCTGGAGAATCCCAAATCTTTCTATCTGTAGTTGGTCTGAAGTTGGGATATGAATACAAAAAGGCTTGGCTTTGTGTCCTTATGTTATGATACTTGGGTTGGGTCCCCCCCCCTCCCCCCGAGATCACACCATGTAATGGATGTTTATATCCACCCCAGTAATGTTTTCTTTCACTTGTTTCATTATTTGTCTAGTTACTTCAAGCAAACAACCAACATTGTCCTGCAGTTCATTCCAGAGATGATCTTCATAATCTCCCTATTTGGTTACCTGGTCTTCATGATTATTTTCAAGTGGTGCCGATTTAATGTGTATAATGTCCAGGATGCTCCAAGCATCCTCATTCACTTCATCAATATGTTTATGTTTAGCTACAACGATGCAACAAATCCTCCTTTATATGAGCATCAGGTAAAAATGTCTATGGAGATTCTCAGTCATCCAGGTCATAGTTGTCCCAAAGGTGCTTTTTTCAAGAGGCAACTGGAGTTCCTGGTTTTTCTTTGAAGACGTTTCGCTTCTCATCCAAGAGGCTTCTTCAGCTCTTGGATGAGAAGCTTCTTGGATGAGAAGAAGAAGAAGTAAAACCAGAAAGTCCAGTTGCCTCTTGAAAAAAGCACCTTTGGGACATCAGGTATAAATGTTTCATCTTCAACTAAGAGTGTCAAATGAAATCTGTCATGCACCTACTCATTTCAGCACACCTATGTAAAGGTGGATGGATTTGGAATATCATCTCTTGTCTTGCTCAAGGAAGTGCGTTTCAGTCAACCAGAGAGCAAACTTATTATACAGGTAGTGCTCAACATAATTGAGCCCAAAATTTCTATTGTTAAGTGAGACATTTGTTAAGTTAGTTTTGCCCCCTTTTACAACTTTCCTTGACACAGTTGTTATGTGAATCATTGCAGTTGATAAATTAGTAATCCGGTTGTTAAGTGAATCTGGCTTCCCCATTGGCTGTGACAAGGGTGGTATTCACTTACCTTCGCTATCGGTTCGCAAATGTGAGCATATGCGCCTTCTCCACGCATGCACAGAGCCTTTTGCACATGCGCAGAGAGTCAAAAATGGGATGTGATGACTTCCGGGCAGATGGGCGGAGCCTCCTGCCGCTGGTGCTAGCGGATTGTGCGATCCAGATGGAGCCAGCTGAATTTCACCACTGGACTGTGACCTTGGGACATAGCAACGGTCATAGTATGAACCATTTGCCAAGCATTTGAATTTTGATTTCATGACTATGGGGAATGCGGATATTAAAAAGGTTGCAACTGTGAAAAATGGTCATAGGTCACTTTTTTCAGTGCAGCTGTAACTTTGAATGGTCACTAAATGAACTGTTGTAAGTTGAGGACTACCTGTACCTATGGAGAAGAAAATATTTCTTTTTAAAATGGTGGCTTCTATTAATCCATGTTTTCCCTGAGATACAACCTTGTATTGTGTTAGCGGCAAATACTGAAGTTAACTGATTTAAACTCAAAGAGATTCAGTCAATTTTCTTTAGAGAGACAGGTTATCAAATGGTGACGTCTCTAAACAATATTTTGTCTCATATTTCTGTTCAGTTAATCCTAACATAGTAGTTAATATGACATAATATCTCAGTTTAGAATGATTACAAACACATCTTGTATTTTGAAGTTTGAAAATGTTCAGGCTTATGAATGTTTTGCATTACATGTCTGGACACAAGTACATAATGGCAACATCTGTATGATGATGCTATTGTCCACATGCTGTCATTTTGGTGTTATGGTAGTTTGTTATAGACAGTCTGCGGATAAGCGTTCAGTATCATAATGCGGATATATTGCAATAGCAATATAGATACTAATTCAAGTGTGTAGATATACTCCCTGGGACCACATATCAGGTTGGGCCTTGGCTTATTATATAGCAGGGCTGTCAAACTCCTGGCCCACGGGCCGGATGTGTCACACTGGCCATATCCACGCCCAGTTTAGCAAAGGGGGGGGAAGTCCCGATACGTCACGTGATGCCACTGTGACGATGTGAGTTTGACACCCCTGTTATATAGTACAACCCAGCACGGATATCTTGTTTTGTGTTGTCAAGTAGCCGTGAGGTGACTCAACAATTTTTCAATTGCTGCAGTATCACTGTAGTTTTCAATAATGTATTTTTATCTATATTTATTGTTAGCGGCTTTGAGTTATTTGTTAAGATGGGCATCTGTACAAACTTGTTAAATGAATAAGTGGAGCAAATATCTGGATTCACATAACATGTAAAGCCAAACAAATCCAATTTTGGCTTACTCTGAAACTAACCGAAATTTGACCATCTTTATATAATGCAGGGAAATAGAAAGTCTGCATTCACAGATTGTACAAAATCAAACCCAACAAAATATTTTACAGTTTAAAGCATTATGTCCCATGGAAAGCCAGACTCAGAGAAACATTATTTATCATAAAAACTCAGATTATTTAGCTGGCTTTGGAATCAGTAGCAGAATGGTTGGCTAAGCAGGTTGTGAGCTGGCTACAAGACTGGGCAGCTGGTATATAATCCTCCACTTACCTGCAGCCTGGATGTTTTGGACCATTAATTATGTTTGTAAAAAAAAAAAAAAGATATTTAGCTCTAATAAGTTTTGAATATGCAGGAGGTATGAAGTGATTGTTTAGAGAATAGTTATCAAATAGCCTGTCTTGAAGACATCACTCAAACTGAAGGATCATAATTTAGGCCAGGATATAGAATTAGCATTGCAGAGAGAGAGAGAGAGAGAGAAAAGTCAGACAGCACATATTTTCAAACACAGATGACGAATTGGGTTGTTTACTTACTCAAGGGCAAAATTGCAGTCAGTTTGCTATCTTTGTCTAACCATCTTGCATTCTCTTGAAGCAAACTCAGTATCATATCTGTTCACTTGCAGCTGGGAATGTCAAATTGGAAGGGAAATAATTTTCTTTGGATCTGTGGTATTCATGGGAACGGTTCAAAAACCAAGATGGCCTCCGCAACTGCATGAATAAAATCCCTGCCCCTTGTTTATGCATACTGTGCAACGTATTATTAAAAAGGCAGGATTTCAATCGCACAACCAGTTGCTTAATTTTTGTAGAACCCCATTCCTACCCGCTGTGAACACACATGCCCAACTTCTATTTAAAACATATACTGTAACTCCTTATAGATGATTGGTTTATTCCTTCAGGCAGAGGCTGACTTGAGAAACCTTTCTCATTCTGACCAAGCTGAGTTATCTCTTGATCTCAAGTCTATTACATACAAGAATCTAGGAGTTAGATTCATTGAAAAAGTCATAATTTAAGATAGTATATCTAGGCTTCCCGACATCCACTAGATGGCAGCAAAGAGTTAGCGTTCTCTATCTTTTTTTCTTTTTTTGGCTGCCATCTAATGACTATCCAGATTTTTGCATCCCATTTGTGGTAACCCTACTGTAATATCTTTTGTCTGCTTCTGACAAACTTGTTGAACAAGCCATGATAGCTTAGTGCAACTCATATACCATGTACTGTAGAAGCTGTTTTGGCATGAAAATATGGTATCAGGCCCAGCTGGACATTTAAATATTCCAGCCACATTGTTGTGGGTAAAGGGTCTCCAACTGATCATGATACTTTTCTGCAAATAAAATCATACTTCAAGTAAGAAACATGCATGCAATTAGTTGCAACCAGATCAGAGGTGGGTTTCAGAAGTTCTGACCAGTTCTGGAGAACTGGTAGCGGAAATTTTGAGTAGTTCGGAGAACTGGTAGTAAAAATTCTGACTGGCTCCGCCCCCATCTATTCTCTGCCTCCCAAGTCCCAGCTGATCGGAAGGAAATGGGGATTTTGCAGTAACCTTCCCCTGGAGTGGGGAGGGAATGGAGATTTTACAGTATCCTTCTCCTGGAGTGGGGTGGGAATGGAGATTTTACAGTATCCTTCCCCTGCCATGCCCACCAAGCCACGTCCACCAAGCCACACCCACAGAATCAGTAGTAAAAATTTTTGAAACCCACCACTGAACCAGATCATTATGGTTTTCTCATAGACGTCATCCTGTGATTATAGCGAAACAGAAATGGATTTCATGTAACTATTAATAGGTGTAAAAGAAGTCTGGAGCCTGCAAATCTTTGATATGGAAAACAGATTTCACACGTTGCACCAGCCATTATTTCTTTAGACATGGTTTGTTGATTAGTTGGGTTTAATTGGCTTAGAGCATTGTATGATAGCATCAATTGTCTTTTTTTTTTTTTTCTAGCAAGAAGTTCAAACTTTCCTGGTCATTTTCGCCTTGATTGCCATACCTTGGATGCTTCTGATTCAGCCTTTTATTATTCGAGCCAAGCATCAGAAAGCTCAGAATAGGGTAAGGAAAAGGGTCTTTTCTGCCAAGTGATTGCTACATAAATAACGTTAGGAAATGGTTATTTGTTTAACTAGTTGGTCAGGCAATATATAAACCAACAATGTATGTTTGCAGTCAGAAAGGTATTATATTGCTTTAAGACTGTATTGCATCATCCTGTATCCTGATTGGCTAAGCTCTGTAGCCAATGTACTTAAGGGAAGTCAGGATCATGGCTTGTGTGGATACTACACCATTTTACCTGCTTACTTGGTGTAACTCTCTACCTGATCTCTCTGCATGATCACTGTTTGATCATAGCTACATGTTGTTTTCTACTATGTATTGAATGTTCCTGTTTTGAAACTCAAGAAGAATTATTTTATTGTGTATGACTACAACTGGTAAGAAGACTTTGTACATGAAATATCCCTGGATTGATCTTTTAACTCTCGTCTTATCTGTGTATGACTTGGATTGTTTTTGGACTTTGCTTTACTTTTTTCTAAAAGTAAAAAGACTACAACAACTCAGTGTGTAGACAGAAAACTGGAGCAAAATGTCATAGAAACATTGAATTCTAGAGTTGGAAGGCATCCCAAGAACCATATAAGAGCCACCGTGGCGTAGTGGTTAGAGTGCAATACTGCAGGCTGTTTCTGCTGATCACCGGCTGCCAGCAGTTTGGCAGATCAAATCTCACCAAGCTCAAGGTTGACAGCCTTCCATCCTTCCGAAGTTGGTAAAATGAGGACCTAGATTGTATGTTGGGGGCTGACTCTGTAAACCGCTTAGAGAGGGCTGTAAAGTACTATGAAGCGGTATATAGTCTAAGTGCTATTACTATAAACCAACCTTTTGCAATGTATGGGGGAAAAGAGATAAGTAATCAATGAGAGATAAAAATCCATCCTCTTCTTAAAAACCTTCAGAGGTGAGGAATCCACAGCTACTGTAAGCAGATTGTTCCACTGTTGTACAAATCTTATCATCAGGAAGGTTTTCTTTTATATTTAAATGAAATTTAGGTATCTGTAATATCAGAACATAGAATAACAGGGTTGGAAGGAATTTTGGATGTCTTGTCCAACACCTTGCTCAAGCAGGATTCCCCATACCACGGGTGTCAAACTCACAGCGTCACGTTGCTGCCATGTGACGTTTCGTGATTTTTTTTTCCCTTCGTGGAGCTGCGGTGGGCATGGCCTGCATGTGACACATCTGGCCCCCAGTTTGACACTCCTGCATTCTATTATTCTGGACAAATGATTGTCTAAACTTTGTTTCTTGAAAACCTCCAGTGATAGAGAACACACAACTTCTGGACGCAAGCCATTCTACTGATTAATTGTTCTCGCTTTCAGGAAGTTTCTCCTTAGTTCTAGATTGGATCTCTCTTTAATGATCTTCTACCCGTTACTTCTTATCTTGCCCTCAGGTGCTTTGGAGAATAGATTGACCCTCTGTTCTCTGTGACAGCCCCTCAAGTATTGGATGACTGCTATCATATTACTATAGTCCAGGGGTGTCAAACTTGAGTCATCCCGGTGGTGTCACATGACATATTGCAACTTTTCCCCCATTCGCTAAACTGAGCATGGGCGTGGCAAGTGTGTGACGCATCTGGCCCGGGGGCTGTGAGTTTGACAGCCCTGCTCAAGTCCTTCTCTTTCCTGATTGCTTATTTGTAACCTATGACTATCGTTAAGTGTTGTACCTTATGATTCTTGATGAACGTATCTTTTCTTTTATGTACACTGAGAGCGTGTGCACCAAGACAAATTCCTTGTGTGTCCAATCACACTTGGCCAATAAAAATTCTATTCTATTCTGAAGTAGACATACCTAGTTCCCACAACTGTTCATTGTATGGTTTAGCTCCACACACTTAATTGTCTTTGTTGCTTTTCTCTGTACTCTTTCTAGAGCCTCAAAATCTTTTTTGTATCATAGTGACCAGAACTGGACACAGTCTTACAAATGTGGTCTCACTAGTGCAGTATAAAACGATACTATCCCTCTGCTGATGCATTGGTTTTTTTGACACTGCTGGCTCACACTTATGGGTTGTACAGCAGAACACCTAGATCCCCCTTGCAATTGAGCAGGTATCACCGGTTTTATACCTGTGCGTTTGGCTTTTTCTTGCCTAAATGTAGAACCTTGCTTTTCTCACCACCGAACTGTATTTTGTTATGTAACGCTCAGTGTTCAAGTCTGAAGATCCTTCTGTATCTCAAGCCTATCTTCTTTACAGTAGCCTTTTATGCACCCGAACATTCATGAGATTTTTTTCCCCCTGTACCAAATACCGTATTTTTCAGAGTATAAGACACTCCGGAGTATAAGACGCATCTTAGTTTTTGGGGAGAAAAATAGGGGGGGAAAATCTGCCTCTGCCTACCAGGTATTCATCTGGCTAGCATCCTTAGCCTGGTCAGCTTCAGCACATTAGTTCACTGGTTGTGAGCGCACTTTAAAAGACAAGGCAGCACCTATTCTGGGTTGCCATTTTGGGCTCTGCGCCTCATGTTTTCAGTCTCCAAATGCGCTGTTTGAGAGGCGTTCAAGGCTGCAGGGATCACCAAAGCACATTACTGCCGATCGCCGCCCAAAAACGCGATGTGCAGAGGCCAAAACGGGGCGTACAGAGGCCTAAAGCACAATGCGCAGAGGCCAAAAACGCAATGCGTGGAGGTGGCGATTGGCGGCAATGTGCTTTGGCGATCCCCGCAGCCTTGAAGGCCTCTCAACGGAGCTTCTGGAGGCTGAAAATGCGAGGCGCAGAGCCCAAAAACGCAAGCCATTGTCTGTGGCAATCTCTGCAGCCAGGAAAAGGACACACAGAGGCCGAAGGGTGGGGGCCGGTGGGTGGGCGGGTCTACATTAGGAGTATAAGATGCACACAAATTTTCAGCCTCTTTTAGGAGGGAAAAAATTGTGTCTTATACTCCGAAAAATACAGTTCTTCAGATTTCTTCAGCCCATCCATATAAGATAGGGGAGCTGCAGAAACCATGTCTTGCTTATGTGTTTGGAATATAAATTATGACTTAAATTCCAGCCGGAGGAAGTCAAAACATAGCATTGTATCTGAACCAGTATATAGAAATGAATACGTAAGATTGTGATCACAGGTAGCTAGAATCCAATAGGTCATATTTATTATTTTTGTGATCAGTACCTTGTCATGTGAATTATAGGGAGGTATCCTACACCAGTCAGAACATAGTCCCAAATCTGTCTTCATTGGCTAGACCAGGGGTATCAAACTCACAGCCCGTGGGCCGGATGCGCCACTCACTAACCACGACCATCCCCAGTTTAGCGAAGGGAAAAGTTGCAATACGTCACGTGACGACAATGTGACAATGTGAATTCGACACCCCAGGACTGGAAGAAGCTCTCCCATGATTCCAGGAAGTGCATGCATGGTTTTTTTTTCACATCAGGTTAGAAATATTGAGGATTTAATGGAGATTTCCTGTATACAACTGATGGGCATTATCATGGAGCCTCATTTCTTGATTTGTACAAGTATTGGAAAAAATATAGGAACTCAAAGGATTATTATTGGATACTGATAATCAATCTCTGTTGGTTTCTCTTTAAGTTGGCTTCATCAAGTCTGTCAGAAAGTCCTACTGGTGATATCGAAGTAAAGATCATGGACTCCAAGCATTCTGAGAAAACAAATCAAGAAGTTGATAGCGGTGGAGGCCATGGAGGCCATGAACATGAAGAAGTAAGATGTAGGAGTTGGAAGATTTAAAGGAAGGGACAGTGCAATAACTCAACAAATTTAGTATAATTTGGTGGTGGTGTGTATGTGAGGAGAAAGGGGGAAATGCTTAAAACTTTTTGGGGTCTGTGGAACTCATTTAAAATTTATTTGGAACCCATTTAAGTTTCTAGATGTTGTACTGTTTAGAACCCATGTTCCGTTTCTAGATTTAGTGGTATTTAGAATAAACTGACTGAAATCAATAGGATTTATTGAAAAATAGCTAAATCAAGTTCCACTTATTGCAGTACAATAGAAATGGGAATAATTATTATAGGAGTATTCAACCGTATTTTCCTTGTTTTCCTAAAAACCTTATTGCAGTTCAACTTTGGAGACATCTGCGTGCACCAGGCGATCCACACCATTGAATATTGCTTGGGTTGCATTTCCAATACAGCTTCCTATCTCCGGCTTTGGGCACTTAGCCTGGCCCATGCACGTGAGTTTGCAGCTACTGATCCTCTTGCCTATGAGAAATAGTTGGGTTGGACCATCAGTTAAAATACATCGGTATTTGGTATCGACTCAGGATAGCCTTCACCAATCTTGTGCCCACTGATGGTTTGTGTTGTAGTTCCCCAGGCATCATGGACATTGATTATGCTAGATCAGGGGTGTCAAACTTGATTTTATTGAGGGTCTCATCAGGGTTGTGTTTCATCTCAGTGATCTGTCCCCGTCCACACACACACACAAACACAGCCAGCCGAAGGTTAAGGAAACACTTTGGCACACACCCAGGTCTTATTTCCAACTTGGCAGCGATATACACACCATCTGCCAAGTGCGTTTATTTCCACAAAACAGAAAGATAAGATACTTAGCGTACAAAAAGTCCAATCAGAATAATATTTCTCTCAGCAGTTCCGGACGAGGCTTTAGTGACTATCCAAGGTTTGCTTTGTTCGTCACAGGGATCACTGGCCACCACCCTCTATTATATAGTCTCTGGGGTGTGGTCCAGTGACTCAGTTCTAATCCCTAGCACGCCTCCTGAGCTGCTGCAATCGTTTATCACGCCTCCGGAGGCGTGCGTCCAGGAATGATGTTTCTCCTCCGCTCTCATCCGAGCCACCTGTCTCCCTGCTAATCTCCTCTCCCTCGGCCGGCACCTGAGACAGTGCCAGAGGGGAGGGGCCTGGAGAGGGAGGCCTGGCTGACTCCTCTTCCTCATGCTCGGAGCTTTCTTCCTCTGATGGGACAGGCTCAGAGGGCAAGGCCACAACACTCAGGAGGGAGCATGGCCAGGGTGGGCATGGCCAGCTTGACATCACTCATGTAGTGGCCAGACTGTTCTCCCAGTGAAAACGGGCTCCCAAGCTCCGTTTTCAGCTGGGACGGCTTCCTGCAACCCTCTGTCAGCAAAAATAGAGCTTAGGATGGCCGCAAGTGGCCCTCACAAGCTCCGTTTTCGGCTGGGACAGCCTCCTGCAACCCTCTGCTAGCGAAAACACAGCCCTCCCAAGCTCCGTTTTTGCTGGCAGAGGCACTGCGGGCTGGTCCTTTACTGTTTCCAGGGTGGCCCCACGGGCCATATCCAAGCACCCCATGGGCCGGATCCGGCCCGTGGCCTTGAGTTTGACACCCCTGTGCTAGATGGACATGATGGAAGTTGGACAGCACCAGGTTACAGAAGATTCATAATGATCTCTTTTAATCAGGGTTGTAACCTTTTCAACCAAAGATTTTAGTTATGTTTTTATAATTTGCTGATTCCTTCAAGATACCAATTAGATGCTTCTTTTAAGGCCACAAGTAGAGAGATTAGTTGTAACATTGCCCTTGAAAACTGCACTTTGATGTTGCAGTTGTAGGAAAGCACTGATCCAGTGATCTAGACCTGATCTAGTTTAGTCACAATGACAAAGAAAACTTGCATCAGTTCCAGGAAGTGAGGGAGCAGCTGCAAGGCATTAAGCAATGTAAAGTTAAAACTGGAAAACGTTGAGTCCAGTCAAAGTTTGCAGGTTAGGATAAAATTGAATTATCTTGAGCTCTGTTGTGATTTTGCTAATTTTTTTCTCCCCAAAGATATTTGTGCACTTTGGTTCTTAGCAATTTTACCCTGAGTTCCTAGTTTATTTATTTATTCATCCATTGTCATATTTATATGCCGCCCTTCTCCTGAGGGACTCGGGGTGGCTCAAGAATAAAAGAACCCAACAATAAATAGAATTAAAATGTTAAAATCCAATTTAAAAACCCCAAATGCCCCAAATTAAAATGCACGGCAGATCAGGGAATTTGCTGAAAGAGCCATGTCTTTAGGTCAGCACGGAAGGTGCGGAGGTCGGGGCCGTCTGGAGCCCAGTGGGTAAACCATTCCAGAGGGTCGGTGCGACCACAGAGAACGCCCTCATCCTGGGGGCCACCAGCCGACACTGTCTGGCTGATAGTTGTAATTCTTTCCTTGCTGTTGCTTATTTAACAGCTGCTTGGATTTGTGTTTCTAGAGCATTGAAATCTTTTATTGGAATAGGGAAGGGTGGTGGTACAGGGACATCTACAGGAGGGATCAAAAACATTAAATGGTCTCTGGGACCATGCCATTCAGCCTGTGATTCCATGGTCATAATGGCTATCTTGTATCTCCCCAGTGGACACTTAGTTAGGAATATCACTTCGGTCAATGTTTTCCAGCTATCTGCAATACTTGACATTTAGGTCAACCAGAACAAGACCAAGATGCAGTAGAGCAGGGGTCTCTCCAACCTTAGCAACTTTAAGACTCGTGGACTTTAACTCCCAGAGTTCTGGCTGAGGAATTCTGGGAGTTGAAGTCCACAAGTCTTAAAGTTGCCAAGGTTGGAGACAGGGGTGAAATCCAGCAGGTTCTGGATTTCTGATAGGTTCTGGAGAACCGATAGCGGAAATTTTGAATAGTTCAGAGAACCGACAAATACCACCTCTGGCTGGCCCCAGAGTGGGGTGGGAATGGAGATTTTGCAGTATCATTCCCCTGCTATGCCCACCAAGCCATGCCCACCAAGCCACACCACACCCACCAAGCCACTCCCACAGAACCGGTAGTAAAAAAATTTGGATTTCACCACTGGTTGGAGACCCCTGCACTAGAGTGCATAGAACTTAAATTTTGGGTCCTTCTCTGCAGGAAATAAGGATTTTAAAGAATGAAACTGTTGCAATATTTTCAGGATCAGACTCAATAAAGATAATAGGAGTTAGAGCTTTAAATATATTTCTTTTTAATTATGATAGGCATTCTATATTCACTGAATATTCAAGGTAGAAGCAACGAGAATGGTGAGGGTGGCTCCTTATATATACAAGGGGTGGAGCTAGGAATGGGAGTGGTAAGTTATGAATACATTAAAATCCAAAGAATAAGTTAACCTCTGATGTTCCATATATACATTATTTACACATTGGAGAATAAGGCATTTACATCTGACAGAAACGAATGCCTTAAGGCCCTCTTTGCATCCACTCCCGAATCAGCCTAATTCTTTTGGGGAGAATGGGAGTTTCATGATCTGAAATGAGCGCCTTAAACATAAGCCTTGGCACTTAGTAAAAAAAAGTCTCCCTTGAGCCAATTCTGTGTTCCCAATGACTACGTAGGTATGACCTTGAAACTTGTTCGAATTCAGCTTAGCGTTAAGTTCTTCTGGGATGCAAGGGGATATATTAATGTGTTTCTCTCTTCCATTTTTTTTTCTCTTGTGTTTCCTTGTTCTTCAGAGCTCTCAGAGGTTCTTTGGCAGTTGCTGTTTTCAATAGGCTTTAAAATGACTGGCTGGCTAGGACTCATTGGGATTTTTGTCCTCTTTGCCGTATTTGCTGCTTTGACAATAGCAATTCTACTCATTATGGAAGGTCTTTCTGCCTTTCTACATGCACTCAGGCTTCACTGGTAAGTTGGTTGTTTGTATAAGGACTTTAAGGCACAGCTGTTTCCTTCTGAGCCAGCCCAAAAAACCCTCAAACCACAGTAACAGGAAGGTACACACATTTCCTGTAATGTTTGCAGTGTACCGCTCAAAGAATAGTTGACGTGTGCATATAAATATACACGTTATTATGGGTTAACTGGTTTTGTGAAATATTGATAGGACCCTAGACTGGAACCATATTGAGTGAGTATGATGGGAGTTATACAGGGGTGGGCTTCAAAAATTTTAGCAAGGGGTTCTCTGCCCGGTTGCTGGGTGGGCGTGGCCATGTGGGCATGGCCTAGTCAGCCTCCTGCACCACGGTGGGGTGTGTGTGTGTTTTTGCCCTCCCCAGGCTCCGGAGGCTTTCCTCAAGCCTCCAGGAGGGCGAAAATGACCTCCCCAGGCCCTCTGGAGGACCTTCCCGAACTTCTTTTAGGCCTGTTTTTCACCCTCCCTGAGCCTCCGTGCACGTCCTGCACTTACCTGCATCCAAAATGGGCCGCGTGGAGACTCCTGGGAGGGCTGGGGAGGGGTGGGCAGGGCCAGCCAGGAGTGGGATTTGGGGGTTCTCCAAACTGCAGAAAATTTTAGCTAGAGGTTCTCCCAAACCCCTGCGAACTCCCAGCAGCCCACCCCTGGAGTTATAGTTTAACATATTTGGTAGGTGCAAAGTTGGGGGAGGGAAAAAACTAGCCTGAAACAATCCCATAACAATAATGCCACTCAAAGATGCCTTTCTTAAGTGGTCCCAGTATCAATGGAGTAATTGGAAACTCTAGCCTTTTTAATTTCTCATGCACTTCAAAGTTTGTTCCATTGAAGGATATATTAATTTATTTTTATTGTACTCTTTGTCCTTTTTTTTTTTGGCAAATCCTTTCCCCCCCCTCCTCCCCCTGAGAAAAATGGGGTTAAAAACAATAAAACTAAAGAAATGATTTCCTCTTTTTCCTATTAGGGTGGAATTCCAGAACAAATTCTATTCTGGTTCTGGCTCTGTTTTTTCACCATTCTCCTTCAAGACCATAATAGAAAGAAAGGAAGAATAGACTCCTGTTAATGATGCTGAAATCTGAAACTTCTGAGATTTCTGCTATTCTTTTTCTTGGTGAGCATTTCCTGGAGAATTAAGAGCCAGAAGGGATACAGAACTTCCCCACTAGGACTTCAGAACCAAATGTGTTGTCAGGGACAAACATAATAAAAACTCTACCTATTCTCCAGATGTGTTGGGACTATGACTCTTCTGCTGCTTAAGAATTCTGGAAAATGTGCTGCTAGCACTTCTGGAGTGTTCTAGATTGGAAAAAGGCTGCTTTCCCTTTGCAACCCATTTAGAAAAATAACCCTATTAGAGCAGTCTTTTTCAACATGAGCAACTTTTAAGAGGTATGGACTTCAACTCTCAGAATTCTCCAACCAGAAGTTGAGGTTGAAGTTCACATCTCTTAAAGTTGCTAAGGTGGAGAAACACTGACTTAGAGGCATGTGAAAAATCCAACCATTTTGTCAAAATGATGAAGAAAGAATTTTGAAAGTTGAGGGAAACTTCATCCCTCCCATACATGTATGTGATGTCACAATACATATACTAAAGGGCAAGACTTGCATCATGGTCTCACAACACTAATTTCTTTGCTTGCCCCTTTGAGATGATCTCCAGAACCAGTGATTTGGTTTACAACAAATGTGTAAGCCACACCTTTTCTTTCACTCTTATGTTTTGGGTGCTGATGACTTTACTGAAATTGTTTCTGAGCGCGATATACCATTTGACTCTGCTGGTGTACACTATCATATGATTAGGTATTCTTCCTTTTTAAAAAAACCCTACGAAAATTAAAAAAACAAAGCATATTATGTCTCGAAACACATAACAATTGTCAGACATTCCTCACTTATTGTATTTTTCAGACTATAAGACGCTCCAGATTGTAAGAGGCACCTAGCTTTTGGGGAGGAAAAATAAATAAATAAATAAATAAATAAATAAATAAATAAATAAATAAATAAACAAACAAATAAACAAAAAATAAATAAATAAATAAATAAATAAATAAATAAATAAATAAATAAATATCTGCCTCTGCCTCCCAGCAATTTGCCTCCTTGCAGCAAACAGCCTGGTCAGCTTTAGCGCAGCCTGATTTAGCACGAGCAACTGATTGGTGGTTGGATCTGCTTCCCAGAATACTGCCTATCAGTTGTTCCAGGCCTTATTGCTGCCTCCACGCGTCCCATTTTCAGCCTCTGCGCATGCTGTTTTCAGCCCGTTCCAGGCAGCGGAAATCACCACCACTGCCGCCTATCCCTGCAATGGGCCTAAAATGGGGTGCGTGGAGGCCAAAACGGGGGCACGGGGAGGCTGAAAATGGGGCGTGCAGAAATGGTGATAGGTGGCAGTGGCGATCCCCGCAGCCTAGAACAGCTGATAGATGGTATTCCAGGAGGCAGATTCAACCACCAATCAGCTGCTCGTGCTAAATCAGACTGTGCTGAAGCTGACCAGACTGTTTGCTGTTTGCTGCAAGGAGGCAAATTGCTGGGAGGCAGAGGCCAAAGGGTGGGGGCTGGCGGGTGGAAAGGGCTTCGGCAATATTCGCTCTATAAGCTGCACAGGCATTTCCACCCACTTTGGGGGGGGGGGCAGGGGGAGGGCATCTTGTACACCGAAAAATACGGTAATAAACCATACCTCTGGAATTATCAGTAGGTCCAAAAAAAAGCTAAATGGTAAATAAGGCATGAAGCAGGATTTCATTATCATCACAGGAAATAAATTATTCCAACTTTAATTTACCACTATTAGAACTGCTAAGTCTGCTCTTGATTTATATTTTACTTGTTGGAAAAATGATTGAAACTGTCTCACAATTGTAACATCACTATCACATATTCAAACAGCATGCTGAAACTCAGAAATGAATATAAAACTAAGGACAAACACTGCCTATTTGCTTCTCTGTCTCCAATACAACATTATGTAAAACTTAAATTCACAACCTAGTGGAAAAGATAAAATGTGTGGTTGACAACACCTGTCAGATCTTCCTATTTGCTCCACTCAACTGCTTGTTCTTGGATTTAGTCATAAAACAAAAATAAATGGTTCTTGGTCTCTCTCTCTCATATACAAACACACACATACACCTCTCGTCAAATTATTCTCCAAAGCACCAGAGGGCAGGACAAGAAACAATGGTTGGAAACTAATCAGAGAAGCAACCTGGAATTAAGGAGAAACTTCCTAACAGTGAGGACAACCTGTGGAACAGCTGGCCTTCAGAAATTGTGGGCACTTCATCACTGGAGGTTTTTATGAAGAGACTAGATAGTCACTTACCAGAAATAATATAGGTTCTCCTGCTGTAGCAGGGGGCTGGACTATTCTATTCATACCACATGAAGAGCTGAGAAAAGATTTCATTTACCTTAAGATACAATTGGATAACAAAGTATTCTTTAAAATTAATCTTTTCAGGGTTTTTTTTTGTATTGGCACCTCAAGAGTACAAACAAGGAATGACAGGCAAATAGTTGGTATATAAACAGGTTTGGCTGTTAGAATCCTTTATTATCGTAATTGCTCCGTAATTTATCATTAACTGGCTAAACGCTTTAATCGCTGATCTGAGTTGAGAGAAATAAGCAAGAACTGTTAGATAAGTAAAAAGGTCGGAAATGTGCCTTAAGTTCTGGGAAACAAGATCTCATTCAGAAGAATCTCTGGCAGCTCCCCTCTGAGTCACTGGAGAATAAGAAGGTGAAATAAAGCACAATTGGGCACAATTAGGCCTGTAAGAATCTGTTATCATAGCCTATGTCAATAAAGTCCCAGTCTTCCCATGGAGTCAGTTTCCTACTCTGTTCTACTCCAAATGGCTGACCATCAGAAACAAACTGAGATTGTTAGTCATTGCGACTTGAGATCATATTCTGCATATCGTAGCCAGAGGTTGGATTCACTTATCTTCCCTACCGGTTCGCAAATGTGAGTGCCCACCTTTGTGCATGCATAGTAGTCGCGCATTACATCCGGGTCGGTGGGCAGAGCCTCCCATAGTCGCCGCTACCAGTTTGCACGATCCAGATAGAACTGGTTGAATCCCACCACTGACCGCAGGCCAGGGATGTGCATGGTTTAAAAATAACTCAAAATAAGTTTTTTTCCCAGATTTTCTAGGGTGACATGATCTATACAATTCAATAAATAAGTGGAAAAAAAGATGCTGATGTTTTAAACATCCCATTCCGTGGAACCCTCCTAGAGCAACTGTGATTGGAAATTACCAAGAAACAAGACAAAGGATTACTCTAGGCCAGAGGTGTCAAACCCGCAGCCCCTGGGGCTGGATGCGTCACATGCTGGCCACCCCCACCCCCCTCCCCCATTTTAGCAAAGGAGGAAAAAGTCATGATATGTATGTGACGACAATGTGATGCGGCGAGTTTGACACCCCTGTTCTAGGCAGACAACACTGTAAGTTTTAATATGAAGCCTGGGGATTTCCTATGCGTGCCACTTGCTCTCTTGACCCCACCTATTTTGAACGATATGAATTTTCCAGTGGGGATTGACTGTTGGCTCCAGAACTAACAAATGAATTTTTGCCAGAACTTGGATTTGCTAGAGTATTCTTGACCTAAAGGAGCCAGTTATCAATCAATCCTGAAGAAACCCTGGGCCCACTTACAAATACTCCTTTGGGGACAACATGCTTAAGAGGATGGTTTCTGTGTAACTTCATACATTCTTGGGGTCCATCAACTATCTTAACCTTTTCCAGTCTAGATTCAAGCCTGGTTTGGAGGCAAAACAAATAATGGTCACTCTACTCCAGGGATCTTCAAACTATATATATATATATATATTTTCAAGCTTTTTAGTTTTCATCAGCTAGGCATACCCCTACTTGGATTCGACCTTGGGCTTCCTGCATGTTAGGCAGTTGAATTAACCTTCGGAGCCAGAAGTTCTCCTCCCTTCAGCAGCTCAAGCTGATGAAGGGAGGAGAACTTGTGGCTCAGAAGATTAATTCAACTGCCTAACATGCAGGAAGCCCAAGTTTGGCTCCATGCTTTGGTCTTGGTTTGGCTCATGGCGTTTGGGCTTTGGTTTGGCTCCGTGTCTGAGGTTTTGTCATGTGCTCATGGCATGTGTTGGTTTGCTTTGTGTGGGGATTGGAGGGGGGCGCAGCAGCCAAACCAAAACCCAGGATGTTTTGGAGCCAAACCAAAGCCCGGGATGTTGCATCACAGCCATCTGCTCAAGACAATACATCACAGAATTCAGGATGTTACAACACTAAAGCTCAGGATGTTACAACACAGCCAACTACCCAGGATGTTGTAGCACAGGACTCAGGATGTCACAACACTAGAGCTCAGGATGCTACCACACAACCCATTACCCAGGTCATTACAACACAAAAGGCTAATGGGCACACAGCTAGGACCTCAGACACACAGGATGTTATGAAACAGCCGACTAATCTGCAAACATCAACTCCATCTACTAATCAAGATGTAACAACACAGCCAACCAACCCGCTTACAACAACAAAGCCAGCACTGCCCACCTCCCCACCAGTATTTATAGAGAGACAGCATCTCCAATCACGCTTTGCTCGCACAAGCACGAAGCCGAAGACACCCACCTGAAGATGATGAATTAGGCCTCATTGAAACGTCGCCAAAATACTCTCAATCTTACACGGGAAAAGACCCGAATATGCCAAGACTTGCATACCTGTACCTGTGAAAATTACAAATATATATATATACACACACTGCTCAAAAAAATAAAGGGAACACAAGCAGAAGACATCCGAGATCTGAATCAATGAAATAGCCTTATTAAATACTTTGTTTGTTACATACAGTAGTTTGGTGTTCCCTTTAGTTTTTTGAGCAGTATATATCCTGAACTAGTGTCAGGATAGCGTGATAAATGATTGGATGAAGGCCAATAACTGAGATCAGATCCTACCACTATGGACAATAGTTGGTTTCTAGAATTCAGAAACAGGAAAATTTAGCTATTCTAAATTGTAGAGGGCATGAAGAACAGTCTTGAAGGATAGTGAGAAGATCTTTTACCAAGGGCATGATCCAAGTGTGGCTTAAGTCCATTCTAAGAAACAAACTTTAGAAAGGCTCCTCCATTCACACAAAAATAAACATTCTGACTTGCAGAATCCTGTTGTTATAACTGTTCTAAT